TTATATTTTATATTCTTATTAAAGTTACTATAGAGTTTTGTTATTTAATATATTTTTTGTTTTTTAAATAGTGTTTAAAATATGATTTAGCATTCAATTTTTTATATTGAGAACATTTAAAATTTATTTAAAAATACTATATAAAACATAGATAATTATTAAAAAATAGTATATAAAACATAAAAAATACCATATCCCACCCAAAACGGGACAAGTTTTCTTGAATCTTAAATAGGGATGGGAAGAAACATGGTGGGATGGGGAAAATATTTTTGCTCCAAATCAATGACAGGGAAGGGACGGGGTTTACATATAATTCCCCAAACCCGTTGGTAAATTAGTAAAATATCAGTAGATTTAATATTGATTTTAAAATATCTTTAAGTTTTTCCTCATATTCTTATAATCCTAGGATTCCACAATTTCATTTATAAAATACCCCAAATTTTCATAATCCAATTCCTAAAATACCCAAAATTCCCATAATCCTATTTGTAAAATATCCACAAAGTAGATTACTTTTAGGTGGTTGCCTCAAGGTGGGGAAAATTTTGAGACTCCCTATCCCTACGGGGAATGGGTGCCTCGCCTCCAACCTGCCCCACCACCGGGGATGAGGCGAGGATGGTGTAGAGTGTCTTCACTACAAGGGCGAGGGATAGGAAGGGGTGCCACATCCCATGCATTGCATGGGGCCTCGCTAGTTATAATTACTTTTGTGCTTTTGATATATATTTTTTTTTAAGTTATAACATGATTTTGTTATTTAATCTATTTTTTGTTTTTGAAATAATATATAAGATATGATTTAGTTATGAATATTTTGATATTTAAAGTATTTAAATTTTAGTTATTTATAATATTATTTAATAATATAAATAATATCATTGTTTAAAATTTTAAAATATTAATTGTTTATTAAATTTAATAATCCATGAAATTATAAGTTAATTTTATTCCATAATTTCTTTATTAATTTTGTAAAATATAAAATTATTATTAATTCAAAAGTTATGAAATCTATTAAAATTATTTTAACTATTTAAAATTTAGTTATGTTAAATATTTAAATAATGTGTAAAATATTTAATCTTTTTTGTTATTTAAATTTTATTTCTTTAAAGTTATTATACAATTTTAAATATTTTGTTACATAATTATTTAGCTATTTTTAATATTTTGTTATTTAAATAATTTTTATTTATGTTTTAAAATATTACTTAGTTATTAAACTAATTGAATAATCCATAAAATTATAATTTATATTGTTATTACATAATTTCATTATGAATTTCATAAAATACAAAATTATTAATAATATGAATATTATTAAACCTATTATATTTTTTTTGTGTTTTTAATAAATATTTTAAAGTTATTAACACAAATTTCATTATACTATTTAATTATTGTTAAATGTTTTAATTAAAACTTTCTTTGGATAAAGAGTGGGGAGAGGATAAATAGGAATTAGAGATAATTTAAGAGATAAATAGGAATTATGGAGAGATAGAGATAATTTATGAGAAAATGGGGATAGTTAGTTTCCTAATAAAAATGAAAGGAAAAAAAAGGAGATAAGCTATGTTAGGTGGCAACTCCTTGTGCTTCTAAAGGGAATCTTGCACCCCTCTAGAATTGCTTGGTTTGGGTAGCAAGGAGAGGACTGTTGACATGGCAAGCTCTACTTTAGTGTGTGTGTGTGTGTGTACTACTTTAAAAAGCATGAATGGCCTCAAGAATATTTCTGGATTTTTTTTAGGACAAAATTTACCCCTCTATATTGAAATTTATTATAAAAAAATGAGGGAAAATAGGGTAATAAGTTCTTGATATTAAATGAGTTGAAAAGAGGTGATTTTGAGATTCAATGCATTCAATTCCCTCTCATTAAATCCAACATTTAAGTTATTAACTTGCATTCATGTTCATTGAATCGTATATTTAAGTCATTTTTGTTTCTTATCATCATTAAGTTCTATTAATTAAATCCATACCTGATAAATTAATAGTTCTATTAACATAAAAGCTTATACTTTTAAAATCTACCTAGAAAAAAATAGTGTTTTCATCTAGGTGGTGGTAAGAAATTAAACCATTGTAGGTCAAATGGGTCAATCCATGTTGCCACGATTAAATAATAAAATGAAAAAAAAAATTAGAAAATAAAAAAATTTGTAACATTTTTAACATACACATTAAACAATAATAAGCATGATAAATAAGAAATGTTTTTATTAATGATGGAAATGGAATGTAAAATTTTAAACTAATTGGACATAAAAATATTTTTCTGCTATCTCTCATTAAATCCTATATTTAAGATTTTTTTTCATCATTAAATTCTTGTAGTTAAATCCACAATATTAATTTTAATAGTATAAAAATAAATATTTTGAAAAGTAATTTGAAAACAAAACCATTTTCTTCCCTCCCGATGGTGGGCAAGAAATTCGACCATTTGAAGTCAAATGAATTAATAAATAATGCCATAATTAAATAATAAAAAATAAAAATAAATAAGTATGAATTGTAAGAAGTATTTTTATTAATGATGAAAATGAATGCCAATTTTAAAATCTACCTAAAAATTAAATCATGTCATAGTCAAATAATAAAATTTTAAAAAATAGAAAATACAAAGAATCACAAAAATAAAAAACGATAAAAAAAAAAATTGAGCACATAACTAATGTTATATTTATAAAAAATAAAATATTTGGTACATATCTAATATTATGCATACATTATATTGAACACAAATAAATATTATACATAAGAAATAATTTTATCGATGATAGAAATGTAATACAATATTTAATGTCAACCTAGAAATCAAACTATTTTTCTTTTTGGGTGATGGGATAGTGGTTTGGGTAACATCATATCATAGACAAACAAAAATAAAGTGCGATAAGTAAAAATTATTTATATAATGTAAATGAAATATATAATTTAAAAATAGTCAAAACCGTACATTTAAAATTAGGTTGTAAGTTGGTCTACAAACCAACAAAACTTTGAGAATTGGCTCTACATTTCAAATTATAAAAGCCCTCGTCATGTCATTGGAGGCTTATGTGATTATTGCCAACATGAGACTCTTAATCCATGTTGGACATAGCAAAAAGCCTATATTGAAAATATGTTTTCAGTTTCTCTCCCGCTCCCTTTGTCTCTCGATCTCCCTCCCTTTTCTTTCACTCTTACAGTCATCTTTCGATCTCCCTCTCCCTCTATCTCTCCCACTCTCTCAGCTTCGGTCTATAGTCAAATCAAAATCCCCCCTCTCTCTCTCTCTCAATCTCTTTCATTTTTCTCCCTCTCTCTTCCTCTCGGTCAATATCTCATTCTCCCTCACTCTCTATCGTTCTCTTCAGTCTTTCTCCCACTCCCTCTCTCGTTCTTTTTTTTTTTCTTACAAACTTATACAATATTAACCAAACCATATAAAAGAATTGAAGGGACCAACCACTTGTACAATCAATTTATAAATTTCTACCAAGTTGGTGTAAATTTAATAGTCAAAAGTTTATTGTGAATTTTTATTAAATTGGTGTAATGATTTTTGAACCATACCAAGTTGGTCTCATGTACTTTTATACGACCCGATTAATACCATATAAGTGTGTAAGAAAAAAAAAAAAGAACGAGAAAGGGAATGGGAGAGAAACTGAAGGAGAATGATAATAATTAAGGGAGAATGAGAGATCGACCAAGAAAAAAAATGGGAGAGATTGAGAGAGAACGATAGGTGGAGAGAGAATGAGAGAAATTGATAGAGAGAATGTAAATACAAAAACCAAAAACCATTTTTATTTATTTTCAAATCACACAATCATTGAGCAAAGAGAAACAACTATGAGAATGTGAGAGAGAGAGAGAGAGATCGACTAAAAACCCTTTTTTATTTTCCAATCACCCAACATTAAAGGGTAATTTCGGTATAAGTTTTTTCTTGTGTCCAACATAGATTAAGAGTCCCATGTTGGCAACAACCATATAAGCCTTTGATGACATGGTTAAGTTTTTATAATTTGACATGTAGAGCCAATTATTAGAGTTTTGTTGGTTTCTAGACCAACCTATAGCCTAATTTTAAATGTACAACAACCAGCTCTAACTATAATTTTCCTTAATTTAAAACTAATCTGAAAGCAAAACTATTTTCTTATCTAGATGGTGGGTCAATGATCCAACTTTTCAAAAAAAAAACCCATGATATCAGAATTGAATAATAGATATTTAAAAAAGATGATGAAAATGCACAAAATTTTGTCAAAAACATTTGAGAACATTTATAATGTTATATATATTCATCATATTAAATAAAAAAATTGTTAAAATAAAAGTTATTTTTATTTATGATAAAAACAGAATACAAAATTTAATAATAATAATAATAACAATAACAATAATAATAATAATTATTATTATTATTTGCTACAAACATGTAAATTTATTTGTAATCATATTGTTATTTTTGTTAATTTTTAGTTTTGTATCTTAACTATCAAATATCTAAAAAATATGAAAAAAAAATCTCACGTGCAAGATGCAACGCATGTAGTATTTATATCTATGTGTGAAAGCAAGTATGAGCATTATAAATGTAACTCAAAGGCAAATATCAGCATTATAAATTATAGATTATAGATAAATCGAGACATAGATGATTATAAATATCTTCTAGAAAAATTAATTACAGATGCCAGTATAATGTGGTTGGGACTGGTGCACCCTGTCCCAAAATCGACCCGACCCGACAGCCCTGTTAAAAATGATAATTTTCAGCAGTGACCTTTTGATTGAGTGTTACCATATCCATATTTCCACGTACAATGATACCATCAGGTTCATGAATGATTCTCTCAATGCTTCACTTTTCATAAACTTTGAATCTTTGAGTAAGAAACATTATAGATGTATATTGAATCTCACCCTGTCCCAATGAAACATTATATATATTTGAAACTTGATGCAAACCATATGTTCTCCTGCAATGCAACTCATAAGATCTGAAATTTTCTGTTACCAAAAAATTAAAAAGGAAAATTTCCTCTTTTGGCTGGATCGACCCTTGAAGGCACACCTTTACCTTTTAACATAAGGTGATCAAATTCCTCTTATCGATGTCCAATTTCTACCCAAACAACAAACGATATCCAATTCCCTATAGAATCGATCAGAACTAGCGAATCTTTTTATTGAACAAGCTGAATTGCACTTCTTCACAAATTTCCCTCTGCAGATTCCGCCATGGATTTCATGAAGGTTATTGACCAAACTATCCGAGGAATGTGAGCTCTGAAACATTTTCACACGTTTCTTTCAAAACTGTTCTATTGAAGATTGATTGTTGCAGAAAAAAGAAAAAAAAAACTGATTTTGTTTATTTTTGGTTTCGGTTTCTGCAGAAAGAGGGAGGTGAATTTGAAAATCCTAAAAGTTGCTGAGATCGAACAGAAGGCAAGAATCATGACCGAATACAGATGCCATTAATTGTTTATGCATGAGGGAGGGATTTCTTGGCTTCGACATTTAATTGTCTCTGCAAAATTTGACACTGTTATGCATTTAAACTGTGGCCATGGGTTATGGTTGTTTAACATTTACCTTGTTCAGTGCTGGGATCATTGTATCTGCTTGTCGTGGAATTTTTAACTTGCTACCTTGAGGATTGGGTATATTATTTAACCGATGCCAACATTTCTTTTTTACATCCATTTGGTCGATACGCTTCTTAGATACGGGTATGTTCTTTCAGTATCCAGAGGGAGATGGATGCAGTTAGTTGATAGTGTCTTGTGTTTAATCGGTAGGATTATTTTCAACGTTGGATTTGAAGCATTTGAAAACGTGGAATCTTAGCTCAATGAAACCCCACTGAAAAAGAGAGAGATGTGGTTTTTGTTGTTGTGTTGTTATTCATCATCACTGTTATTGTTATTTATTCATAGATGGTTGAGTCTCTGGTGAATTCTTCTAAATGAATTGTTGAAGCTGGAAAACAAAATAGGGAAGAGGAAGAGAGAAGATGCTTTGGACTAGAGTTACATTACTTTCATGGATATAAGAAAAAGGAGTATCACCTCTATAATATCTCCTGGTTGAATTTGTTGTGAAATAGAAAAGGATCAGCCTTTGGTTGAGTACACTATAAGAGATGTGAATATGTGATACTAATACAGGAAAACCCCATCTAGGTTGCATGCCTGTTGGCTAAAATTTAAGCTAGGCGATGATGGTATGGACTTCTTGCACCTCAAAAAAAGTTAGAGAATGAAGAGATCAAGATAAAGAAAAGAGAGCGTTGAGGGATCTAAGCTTTATTTAACAAGAAACAATTTCGTATATGGGGAGATGATAGCCCTGCACCACCCTAAATCATGCTGTTGTACATAATGCCAAAGCACTGCAAATAAAGGCTTCAATATATTTTCCATTGAAATACTTTGCATTTCATCACAGTATTTTCTTTTAATGCCCAAAAATGCTCGAGGACTAGACAGTAACACGCTCAATTATTGACCTACTGGCTGATAATAGAAACTACATGGTACGTAAAGTTTGATACTTTGATTAATAACTCTGACTTCAGCTGGACTTGAACTAAATTTCGTAAACTTCTAAATACTCACTTATTGCTGATTACAGTAAAATCAATACTTATATGTGAATAAATGAACAAAGAAAGCGATTTGGATAGAAATGAAATTGTAAAGAAAACAAAATTTCATATTCAGTTAGGTTAGGTTTAAGCACTTGGCTTTGAATTAGCTTATGTTGGCATCAATGCAATCTGATCTTGGAGCCATCTTGTCATTTTTTTATCAACAGATGCTGAAATCTTGAACAAAAGGTTTTCATAAGTCGCAAAAAAAAACCTAGATTTTTTAATCTCATGGAACTCAATTTATGTCTTGTTGAATATGTTGATTTGTAGTTCAAAGCTTTTAAGTATGTATATTCAAGTTGGCCCTTCCATTCAGTGAGATTCAACATACATAATGTTTCTTTGGCTTAATTCATTTTATTCAAGTTTCTGAAAAGGTTAAGCATTAAGAGAATATGGAGAGCAGGGCCAATTCATTTATGAGACTGATGATATCATTGTATGAGGAAATATTGAAATGGTAACACTCAAGTCAAAAGGTCACTGCCAAAAATTATAATTTTTAGCACTGAAATCTGATTGCAGTTCATTACAGTAGGATAAATATAGCATTTTCACTTCATCTTACTTTACATCATTTGGTTCAATTTATGACAGTTTCTTTATTACTCATGACAGGTTCTAGATGCAACAAGTGATGAACCTTGGGGCCCTCATGGATCTGTTCTGGCAGAGATAGCACAGGCCACCAAAAAATTGTAAGCTAATTTAAATATCTTTCTTGTTAATTCTGTGCTCATTCTATTTTTTTTTCCTTTTTTTACTGAACTTTGTTCCTTAAAATGAAAGATGTTGTATCATACATATCATGTCATCATGCAGCACTGAATGCCAGATGATTATGAATGTTTTATGGACAAGATTATCTGATACTGGTCGAAACTGGCGTCATGTCTACAAGGTAGACACTCCTCTTTCAATTAGTTAACGTGTTTTTCTTCAATCACATTAGAGTTCCAGTTTGAACCTCATATTTATGATACCTTGATAGCTGCAAATGCTTTGTGTACTGGTGTCAGACATGAAAAGTATTTGATACAATCTGCATGGACAATTCTACAGTATACTATATAATGCTAAAACCTATAAACATGTAAGTTAGTGTATATTTGGTCAAATAAACCATAAAAAACATATATATGCTATAAATTGAATTGAAATTTGCAAGATATTAGTATTGAGAAATGACACTTAACTTCAAAATCTAGATATCAAAGCATGATAAAAGCATATGAAATGGGATATTTATACCATATCTTAGGAAGAGGAAAGTCATATCCTTGTTTCCCATATCCGTGTCTGTATTGGTATCTGCATAGGTAGATCATAGGTTTCTATTTCATTTGCCCAACCTTTTCCTTTCCCCCTTCTCTTTCTTATCTGTTTTCCATTTCTGATGGCATTTTCTTTATCAGGCATTGGCAGTTATTGAGTATTTGGTGGCACATGGGTCTGAACGTGCACTTGATGACATAATTGAACATACCTTTCAAATTGCAGTAAGGGATCTTCTTTTTTATATTTGCAACTCTTACATTTTTCAAATATAATTCATAGTCAGTTAAATATAAATATCTCTGATAATTTTGGTTTTCTCTGTTTTGCCTTCTATTTTTAAAGTCTCTCTCAGGTTTTGAATATGTTGAGCCTAATGGTAAAGATATGGGAATCAATGTAAGAAAGAGGTCTGAAACCATTGTGACTCTTTTGAATGACAAGGATAAAATACAAGGAGTTAGAAATAAAGCTGCTGCAAATCGTGATAAGTGAGTTCATTCTGTTGTTTTTTTAATTGAACTTCATTTTGTTCCCTATTTTTATTTTCAGTTCAGAGTCAATGAATGAGCTATGCACTTATCATTGTCTCTAGGTATTTTGGACTTTCATCATCTGGAATAACATACAAGTCAAGTTCAACCTCATATGATAGTAGCAGCTTCAATCATAATGACCGATATGGAGGTCCAAGTAACAGAAAAGAAGGGGAAATGTCCAAGGATACTTATAGAGATAAAGAGCGACTAGAGAAAGAGTATGGCAAGGGTAGTCACGATAAGCCGCATAGTGGCATTGCCAATGATGATAAAGGAACCAATATGAAGAAGGGAACTTCTTGCTATGGCAGGTCTGCATAGTTATATTGCAGGCCTAATTGCCTATAATGCATCATAACTAGTTTATATGTCCATATTTTGTTTTATATTCTCCTCTCTTTTCAGCAATGAAGTTTTATCATTAATGATTTTTTTGGTGGGTAACTTGAACATTTTATTAGTTTTGGATAAAAAATCTATTTACAGCATTGGTTGTGCAAATTCACCCCAATAATACATAGGGGAGCCAAGCTCCTAATCCCATAGCCTTTTTCTTTTGCTAGGATGCAGAGTTTGCAGATCCCCTATCAATACTTTCTGAAAACATTTGGTCCCTGTGAGCCCCTTGTCTGGATAATGCATCCGCCATCCTATTTTCTGTCTAGTCCGGCTGAATATAACTCTCATTTGCCTTTCTAGCCTTGTTCCCTATCTAATGGGTTGCATATGGCACAAAGGTCGTTTGCTGTTATTCATCATCCACCCTATGGCTGTGTGAGAATCTCCTTCCACCAATAGGTTGTTGTAGTTCAGTGGCTTCTTTAATTTCAACCCCTGCAGTAATGCCATCAACTCCGCCTTGATTGAGTTACCTTGGCCTATAGGTCCTGAATATATTGATAAAACTTCCCTTTCACAGTTTCCAAAGACAACCTCTGCTCCTTCCAAACCTGGGTTACCTAAGCTGCAACCGTTAAAATTCATTTTTATATAATTTGGTGGGGGAGGAGACTACATGCTTACTGCTATGGTTCTTGAAGTGGAAGAATTAGCAGCCTGCGGCCAGTTTCTTATGATATCATCCATTGTAAATGAATTAGAGTGATATTATTTTGACCCAGTGGGCTACATTAATCATAATGTTTTCGGTTAAGGCTTCAACTGTATGACTCTCTTCCTTGAATATCCATGCATTCCTTTCTTCCCAAATCAACCACAGGACAGCTCCTCTAGTTTATCTTCTTAGCATATTCTCCCTTCTAATTTTTGGAGAGAGGAAACTGTTACTTATTTCCCTCTTTCTCCTATACTAAACAGACTATTAGCACATCTTGGAATGCAGTTAAAGGTGAAATTTATCTCATCTGCCAATATCTAACCTCCCTCAACAGACATCTATATCGCCACATTCCTGCACTATTGTCTCTAAGCCAGCCCACTATTACCTTGAAGTCCACTTCCACCACAATGTTACTATAGTTAATATTCCTCCCCAGCGTTGGTCCTTGCAATACTGCCAAGAGTTCTGCCCTCATGGAATTCCCAACGCCAATGGGCCCTGAGAAAATTGTAATTATGGTCCCATCATGCCTTCTGAACACACCCCCAATCCCAAAATTTCCAGGATTCCATATGCATTTTTGGTTAGTAGTTTTTTAAGATTGTTTTGATTTATTGGGTTAGGGGTTGATATCATGAGTGTCATGGTTTATGTTTGTATCCTTGACACTCTCTCAGCATTGTCTCTTTGTAATCATATTTCCTTTTTAATATATATATATATATATAGTTGTTGAAAAGATCTCACATTAGCACCGTTGCAGTTTGAGATGTTATGATCTTTTATTTCTGAACCCAAAATTACTTGCCTTTAAGTTCTAACAAAGGCAGAGGCAATCATTTCTTAGATTAATGATCTATTCACTTGTTTGTCTTACTATGTTTTGCAATTTAGATAATATATTGACTTTGACTGTGCACAAATGTTAATGAATGGTTATTTTTGTTTAAGTTTCTATGCCAATAGCTGTTATTTTGCTGATTCCAGATTGTTGATTATGTAGTAAGGGCCAAGATGCTCCACCACCCAGTAATTCAAGCTCAGATTCAAAGTTAAGCCATTCTGATGATAACTATGGTCCTCTTCCCTCCCAAAGTTCAAATGCACCTCTGAGTTATCCTGATGATGATTTTGATGACTTTGATCCCCGGGGAACCTCCACCACTGGTAAAAATTTGTTAATTCAGTCCAGAAATGTGTATTTATTCTATTGGCATGGCACTGGAGATGACCTGATGTATATTCTTTTCCTGTACCCTCGTTTTTTTCCTGTTGGGATTGGTATTGCTAATATTTTGTGTCTGGCATATTTTATGTTGACATACTATTATGCTAAATGTTTATCTAGCCACACAGGCTTTCAAGATTTTTACATGGAAACAGGACCTAGAACATGATAGTTGAACTGTATATTACTTGCAGTTGATATCTTGACTAAAATGTTTGAGAAATACAAGAAAAAAAAAAGAAAAGAAAAGAAGAAAAATGAGGATACCAATAAAAAAAGAAATTAAAGAGAACCAGTGGCATTGTATTGATGCTATTCATGTACATGAAAACTGCTACATGTTCTTGTGATTCTATCCCTCAGTAGTGCTATTACCGTTGGAACAGTAAAGGCACTCTTGGGATCAAGTTTTTAGAAGTGAGAAAAAAACATGGGTCTCTAAAGAAGAATAAAAGTATGATTGGGTCTAAAGAAATGAAATAGAATATTTGATCAATATAAATATGTTGTAAAATGTAGGTTCATCTCAGTTCCTTTTATGTGGTAGGAGAGGGCATTTTTTATTCATACAAGTGTGAGTATGTATGAACACTTAATGTTTTTGTTGGTGTAACTTGTTCTTGAACTTTTGGGAATTCAAAATGAACAGAACTACTATCTGTCCTACATGGGTTGAGGTTGGGCAGCTCTCTTAACTTAAGCAATGTGGTTATAGTTATTTTAGGATGTTGAAGAATACCAACCACAACTCCACCAGGGCAGAAGCATGGGCAGTTCTTCAAGGTCTCAGAGGGGCTAAGTCAATGAACTTCAAGAATATTATCGTTGAAGGTGACTCAGAACTTGTAACCGGGTGGCTAATGGTTAATTAGGATGGACCATGGTAATACCAACATACTATAAAAAAATGAAGCAGTTAATACGAGTTGGGAACAATTGTAAAATGGGTACATACTACATAGAGCTGCTAACGAACTGGAAGATGGGTTGGAAAGGCCAGGGGTGGGAAGGGAGAATGTGTATTGGGGATCTGGTCTTCAAAGTGGTTAGCCTTGGCTAACCACTTTATGTACCTCGTTGTATCAACATTTCTTTTTAAGTAATAAAAAGTTTTTACTGTTATCTATCAAAAAACATAAAGTAGATTATGAGGGAAGTGGCTTGGCCAGGGAACAACACTCTATTTTCAAATGGGTTTAAAGATCAGCCAATAGGTTAGCAGATTTATTGGAAAAACAAGGGGTGAACAGAAGGCAACTCTTTTGGGTATCTGTATGAGAGTGGGTGATATAAACTGAAATATTGGGGGTCAGGTAGCATTAACTAGCATAACTAATTTGGGGCTCTATGCCTCTATCCCTCTGTTGTAAAATACAATATATTTTTACTATCAAGTCTTAATCAATAAATTTTTTGATTGCTAACAATCAAATAGAAAAATTTTTGGAGACATCTAAATTTTATAAATTATTCTTTCTTATGCAATGATATTAAACTAATATAACTTTTTAGAGCATATAACCATCAATAGGATACACCATATAGATGATTTTAATATTGCATATCTTAAAATGTTTGTTTTATGTAACAGGGTTAGCTGCTACAAGTGTTAAGCAGGTGGATTTGTTTGGTGAAAATTTAATTGACCTCATGGATACACCAACATCTGGTCCAACCGAAACAGGTACTGTGAATAACAATGCCACAGAAGAGGTTGATTTGTTTTCAAATGCAACTTTTGTGTCAGCCACACCTCATGTAGAAGCAGGGGCAGTCCCTCAGTTTCAGGTAAGAATATGTCCATATCACCCCTGGCAATCTTGTTAGTCTACACATGCATCAATTTTCAAATTGAACTCCAGTGTTTTATTTAACACGTGGTAACTATTATTGGGTAATGCTTCATCCATAGGTTATGAAGTTCTTTTTGATGTTGGAGTTGTCAGCTTGGAGTGGAGAAGATAACAAGCCAGAAAGTAAAAATAAAAAGAACAAGAGAGAAAGTTTAACATGGTTTTGTCTTGGCAGTCTACATCATGGGAGATGAAGAGATCAATCCACTATTGGGAAAACTAGAATAGGACCTATCTCTCCACTTTATTCCAATACTTCAATACTTTTGATTGCTTAAATAAGCCAAAACACAAGAATACCGGATTAAAACAAACCCATCTTACAAAAATGCCTCTATTTCCTCCAAGATTTTTTTATTTTTTATTTTTTTTGGGGGGGAGGGTTAGAACCCTCCAAGAGAAGTTTGGTATTCATCATCTTGGTACACACACACACATATAAGAAAAAGAAGTTACTAAGAAGTTGGGAATATTCTATTTAGGCAGAGAAGAATGAAGCTGGAAGTTCATAAGAAGCTTTCAGGACCTTTTTTCCTCAACTTTATGCTATAGCTCAAGATGGGGCAGTGGTATGGCAACCCACTTTTAGAAGAAATCCCAATTATTGAGAGGTTTCTCAGGTGATGGAACTATTGTCAAAATAAAAAAATATAGTTCCAAACCCTCACTGGAGGATAGAAGTGTTTGGAAGTGGAAAACTTCTGAGTTGTTTACATCAAGGTCTTTTTTAAAAGAAGATGGAGGATACAGGCCAAGCACATTCCCTGCTGCAAATATTTGGTACTCAGCAGTCCCATCAAAGATTATAGTCCTAGTTTGAACAGCTACCTTATAGATCATAGATGTTTGACGAAGGATAACTTGATAAGGTAGGGTATGGTGGTGGGCAGTAGTGGTTGTGTGTTGTTCAATGAATGAGATGAAACAGTGAACCATGTGTTCTTGCATTGAAGATTCTCAAGAAGCTGTTGGGCATGGATAAGAGGAATTTTTGGAGTGGAAGACTGTTGTCCAGAATCAGTTGAAGCTTGTTTCCAGTGATGGAAATTGAGAGGCTTGAATATAAGAGGGAAGGTGGTTTGGAGCCCCTTTTGATGTTTGTTGGTCAGTATAGGTGAAGAGGAATGCTAGAACTTTTGAAAAGAAAGTTCAGTCAGAAGAGGAATATAAGAAGAATGCTAGAACCTTTGCTATTCTCTTGTCTAGATTTGCATAAACTAAAGAATACCTTACAATTTATTTTTCTTGAAATAAACTCTTTTTGTGTAGATGGGATTAAGTGATGACGTGATCTTTTTGTATAGCTTTCTTGTACAGTCCTTTGGTTATTTGGGACTGTTGTAATTTGGTTCCGATACAGCAACACAATGCACATCTATACATTCATTTTTTTTTCAAAAATAATAAAAAAGTGCCAGAAAAGTTTTCATGAAGTTAGTTAAAGAACGAGAATTAAAAACACACCAGCTCATTGCTGGTTTCTAACTTTTTATTCAGCAACATGAAGAGAATGAGATGATCAATTAGGGTGAGGGATTTGTTGGTGCTTTGGAGGTCTGGGAGAGATGGTGGATATATTTTGGGAGGGGTGGAATTTTCAATCCGTTCTCAGAAGGAAGTGTGCAGGAAAGTTTAATTTTTATTTAGTTGATATTGGCATTTGGTATATAGACTGATCTGTCTCTTACATCTCCTTTCCTTTTTTGGCCCTTGGGACCACCCTTTTATGTTGTAACTTATGTACACTATCTTTTGTTTTATTATTTCTTGTAAGACAAGGACATAACTGTCCTTTCCACAACATTGTATTATCTCATATATAAGTTAAATATTTCTGGGCATGGTTCAAGACAGAACACACCCTTTTCACTCTCAGTTGACAGGTATGATGTGAGAGCATAATTTTTTTTTCCTTCTGTTAGTGTGGGGGTATTTCTGTCTTTATACTTATGTTGAGGTTGCTGATCTGTAATATTATATTAGAACTAGTGTCCCTCACTTAAATAAGGGCACATGTGTCTTTTCCATTATATTAATAATATAAAAACATGTCTGGCCGAATGGGAGAGTAACTTTTCCCTAATTCGAACCAGACTTTTCTTCTCTCCTTTTCTCCTCCTTTCTCTCTCTCTTTCTTCCTTCTTTCTTCCTCTTTCTTCTTGGCTGTTATCAGACTAACAGAACTCAAAGGCAGACCAAATTATAACACCTTCTATGTGGTTGGGTTGAAGATTTGCAGGTCTTTTGTTAAACTAGCTGTCTTGAAGTATTTTAAGAATGGTGAATTTGTAGGATGGGTTTTTGTCTGGGTTGATTAGGAGGGCATGAGTAATTTTGGAGGGAGTTGTCATGTTTTTTAAGGGAAGCTTTATAAGTGTTCCCTTTACCTTGATGATATCTTCCTCTTTTTTTCTTTTAATTAATTTGCTTTTACTATAAAAAATAGAGAAGTACTGACTAGTGAATGTTTTTTTGTCATCAATAGGGGTGGCAATTTTTCACCCAACCCACTGAACCCACCCAATATCTAACACACCCATTTACTTGGTGGGTTGTCTGATCAACCCATCACCCAACCCGCCCATTTAAATGGGTTGGGTTGTGGATAACCATTGGGTTAACCATTACTGACATAAGTACTAATTCTTTAGCCTTTTTCTAAATTTTCTTCATCTGAATTAAATAATATTTTCTATTAATTATTGACTAAATTTAGTTTTGTCTTGAATCAACACACTTCACCCAACATAAATCCAAATTAATTTGACCCGACTTTAGACCAGTTGAACGCGGTCTGACCCGACCTAGCATATACTGTAATACCGCTCCGGGTTGACCCGAATATGAAATGGACCCCGAGCAGGATGGTTTGGTACTGCTTGCTCTGCTCGGTTTGGGTTGTCCGGTCCAACCACCATTCACACAACCTGTTCCGACCCGACACAAGACTATCCGGGTCGACTCAAATCTGAAACGGTTTCGGGCGGGATGGTTCGGTGTCCGCATGCTTTGCTCGATCCGGACCGTCCGACCGACCAATATCCACACAATTCGACCCGAATCCGGACCGACATGCATGTAATGTGATTTGAACCTTCACCAGTTGTGTAAATAGTAACTGATATGGTCCGGTCCAAAACCCGTGCACAAACCTGATATGGTCCGGTCCAAATGGCTTCTCCGCTTGTGTAAAAATAACATGCATGTAATGTGATTTGAACCTTCACCACTTGTGCAAATAGTAACTACAATTACCACCAAGCTATGACCAACTTATTTAAGAGAGAGTTAGTTTGTTTTTTAAGTTCATAAATATAAGATTAATGGGTTTGGGCGGGTTGGATTGGGTTGAACCCAACCCATTTAATTTTATATAACCGGGTCATTAATGGGTTGGCGGGTTAGATGGGTTGGGTTGAAGCTCAACCCAAACCAAACCCAACCCAACCCGCCCAATTGCCACCGCTAGTCATCAAGGACATTTTGTATCACACACATGGTTTTCTTATGTTGACAGAAAGGAAAATAGTGCTTCTCTTGAAATACAGCACCAGGCTATATAGAGGAAGGATGTTGGTATCACACACATGGTTCTCTTATGTTGACAGAAAGGAAAATAGTGCTGCTCTTGAAATGCAGCACCAGGCCATATAAAGGAAGGATGTTGGTGTAGTGAACCACCTATTTTTCTTGTTGAAGCTCTAAATGTTTCCTTTTCCATGTTCTTTTTTGTTTTTTGTTTTTCCTTGTCTTTCTGTCTGTTGCCATCCTGTGGTTTTGGTTGTTCTGTTTCGTATGTTGAATGAAAGATTTTTATCAATGTTTTAAAAGGTGTTTGAGGCATACGCCTGGAGTCATGACACCAGGCGAGGCACATTCAAAATGCCCTGAGGTGCGCACTTCAGATGTGTGAGGCATACACCTCAAATGCCTTTTACATGAGGCTTATGGCTCTAGTGTTCTGAGCCATGCCTCACACCTCCAGGTAGTGGAATGCTTCACACCACACCTCTGCATTTTAAATCATTGATTTTTATTCACCAAAAAAGTCTTCAGAATTAATGAAATGTGGCAACACTCTTTGGAACTACACAGGGTATTTAATTGCAACAAATAGAGAAGCCAAGGAGTGTTTTATATCTTTGCATCTGCCCACTTTGTTATTAAACTTGAGATGCTATATTCTAGTAATAGTTAGGACTTGATGGGTTCAACTTGGTTGTTGTCATTTCCTGGTTCCTTTGGGCTGTTTATCTACATAAAATTCTGAACTTTGAATTTTCATTTGATCTTTATGAGCTTTGTGGAATAAAATAAAAAAATATTTCTTTAGTGAAAGAGCAACTTAATTAGTCCATCATAGAGTGCATTTCCCCATAGTAACAACACATTTCTTTGTAAACGGCTAACTTATACTTTATTCTTCCTAAATGATGAAATGAGAGTCATTAATGCTTTACCATCTATATTTTTGCAAATATGTATTTAAATCTTTCACCATCTGAAAGATACAAAGATACTGGGATGATCATAACCATTAAGTGGCTAGGATGTTTGCCCTGATATGCTTCTATCTTAGAAGACCATTGGCTTCCCTGGGTGTTTACCAGATGAAAAGTTCATGCACTTTGCTTATGAATGAGAAACTCCATAATGTTTTTTTAATAAAGCTCTTTGTTTTAGCCACTTGTAATGATATTTTGATAGCTCATTGGACTTCAACCATCTTGAGCAAATGCATTGTTTAATTATATTAATCAGTTTAAAGTGGAAGGTTTCTATGTGTGACATTTTCCCATTTCTGTCCACTCGTACAGGCCAACTTTGATCCATTTCCTTCTCAGCCTTCCTTTTCTTCTGCATTTTCTTCAACAGTAGACCTTTTTTCTGCTCCTGGTCCAGATTCACAGATGGAAAGCAGGACTCTACAATCTGAACCAGAGAACTCCAACAGTATTGATCCATTTGCTGCAATGCCCCTAAACAGTTTTGATGGATCCAATCTCTCTGGTGAATTCACTTTTCATTCTGCTCAACTCTCTACTGAGTCAACAATAAACTCTGCTAATGATGGAGACCTTAATAAGCTTAACCAAGACCAAGAGCCACCAATAGAATCCAAGCCTCCACCCAAGAAGGATACTTTTCAGGTCAAGTCTGAAATTTGGGCAGATTCCCTGAGCCGTGGACTGATTGACCTGAATATTTCTGCTCGTAAGTTTTTCTCTCCCATTTATTGTATTTTTTCCTTTTTTTAGTATAATCTATTTTTTGCATTTTGTTGAATATCAATTATCATTAATGACTAGATTGCATGATTTTGTTTCTGACAAAAAAAATAATAAATTGCCAAAGTACCATCATATGCATTTCATAATATCAACTGAAGGAAATTGGAAAAGACCTTGTTGGGCTGTTGAAATGTTGTGAACTGTAAAGCACCAATTGAAATAATCTATCAATTGAACCATCAACTCTGTAGGTGAACCTTACTCATCTATTTCCATTTATCCAAATTTGTAAGTTATTATTGCATGCAGTTGGAATATGATATGCATCATGAAAAATGCTTGGTGTATCTTGCTACCAGATATGGTCTTTAAAATTAAGGCATATATACCATAAAAGAAGAAATTCTGTGGTCTTACGTACCTATTTGGAAGATTTCATATGCTGTTCATTGATCTAGAGCAAGTGTATGATAGAGTTTCCAAAGAGATGATATGGTGGGTCTTGGAAAAGAAATGGATTCCTAGGTACATAGACCTAATTAAGGATTGTATGAGGGTGCAACAATTAATGCCAAAATACCTTGGGAGAAACATCAGACTTTACAGTCATGATGGATCTTCACCAAGGTCCAGCACTTAGCCCTTATTAATTTGCACTGGTCATAGATGAATTGACTGAACATGTTCAAGAGGTCCCATGGTGCATGCTGTTTTCTGGTGACATTGTTTTAATTGATGAAACTATTGAAGTATTGTTTGCTTAGAGATGCAAAAGTAATGCCTTCTAACCTAAACTGCTCATTCAGGTGGATACTAAGATAAGCAAACAATGTTGCTAATGCACTAGCAGAAAGGGTTCTGCTTTTTTTTTTTAATGGAATGTCTGCCTATGGCTGTTGTGTATGTTTCTTCACTCCAATGTCTTGGAAGTGAGGGGTTTATGTCACACATCAATAAAACATTAATTGCAGTTCATGATTAGATGGAAGCTAACTTGAGAGTGCACCCAATTACTATGGATTAGGGTATTGGTTGGATTAGGGGTGACACTGTCTGGTTACAAGTGGCAATGTTTGTTGGAATACATAAATTAGCAGTTGCCAAAGAATATACCTTTAGGGTAGGAATGTAGGATGTTATTTCGTATTTCCTTATGCTTGCATTCTGTAATCTGTTAGAATCTTGTTAAGCTTAAGTTATTTGGATTTTAATAAATATAGGCACATGTTTCAAATACTGATCACTCTTATTTTTATGTTTTACCGGAATTGTTCTTTTGCCCTTTGAGAGGAAGATATTATGGAAATGTATTCTTTTCGCTTGGCAAACATTCAATGCAGATCCAACTTGAAATAACAGAAGATCCAATGACATGCATGGAAAAGTTAATAACAATAAAAGGAAAGAAAAACGTGCAAGAATTCAGAAGGATGTGGCCTCTTGGTTGTGTGAAGATTCTTGAAATTGATCTTGCGGTCGTGGAATTAGGCTACAACATATTATTGTACTAACTTGGTTTTTGTTTCTTTGTGGTCAATCTACAGCCAAAATGGTATCTCTAGCGGAGGTTGGAATTGTGGGAGACCTCAGTGATGGATTGGATGAGAAGGAAAAGGGATCACCAACTTCAGCTTACATGGGAAAAGCCATGGGGGTGGGGTCAGGTCTGGGTATATCTGGGTTTACTTCGACAGGAACAGCTGGAAATGACATCTTTTCATCACTCGACCAACAACAGTTTGGTAGCTTCAAGTAATGAGTTTCTTCTTTCCTTGATTTCTTTGCATTGCCTTAAATATTCTTCAAGCATTTGCTCAAGGTGTCCAGGTATTGGTTCCTTGACGCGCTCCATAAGTCCATATTATTCTTTAGTTTACTGTATGATGATATTATTCTTTTCATGTTAGGTTGCATCTGGGAGAGCTATTTTCTCCCTAACACTCCATTTGTAACTGTTAAGTGTTAACTGGATCCAGAGCAAACCTTTTCATAAGGAATGTGATGCTGGCCGGAAAATTGTTGGCGAAAGAAAGCTAAAAATGGGTTTTTGAACAGTGAGACAATTCTTAGGGCCTCACCCAAGCAACAGGTGAGGAAAAGAATTCAGATAATTCTTTTGAGCTCGAATTAATCTAGCTTGGAACCTATAAGATTGCTTGGTCATTTGGGAAATCCCGCTAGATAACCTGATTGATTAGGTGCTAGTCAGATCATTAAGGTTGAATAATAAAGGAATCTTTCATGTGGAAAAGTTGGTTTTGGGCTCAAAATGGCTTATGGCTCCACACTCTTTTTCTGGCTACCATCTATTGCTGGGCTAAATTTGAGCCTAAAACGACCTTGCCACGTGGTTAGAATAAATCTCTAGTAATGGTTAAAATTTGAGCCTAACAAGGCATTGCCAAGTAATAATTGTCACCCACTGCATAAACATCTTGGCTTGCCCTCCTATGATGCCCATTATTTATGCGCCCAGAAATTGGAAAAATGTTGCCCCATTGTTTGGCAACGTTTACTTGCTGAAATCAAATCAGCATACTGAGATTTGGTATCCATCTCCCCATTCCGTCATTGAGTCTATTACATTTACATCTACGTGGGTTTTTTTTTTTCAAATTTCATTCACCAATCATCAAGATTGCATCTCGTTAAGCACCATAGAAATTAAAAAGTCAATAGAAAAGTAAAGAAGTATGGTGGGTTTCCCATAAAAAAATAGCCTTAATAAATAAATTTAAGTAAATTAGGCTAAAATTCTAAGTGACGCCAAGCAACTTATGTGATACGTTACTTTTTGATAAATAACTAACTATAACCTAGTGACAAACCAAACCCCACCTTAAAGATGATCCTACCAACCTGGCATACTTGGAATATAAACTTTATAACTAAAGCCGAAATGTTTTTCTCCTAACTGATCGGATTGGACTATGGCCCGAGCACTTTAACGGACCGACCCATTATCGCATGCACAGACCTTTTAGTCCACGTACCAATATCACACTAGAAAACCCATTTTTTAGGGACTAGATCCGAAAAACATATTAGTGGATGCAACATGTATTGCTCAATGTTCAATATTGTTACCTTAAAAAAAGTTCAATATTGTCTCTACAATATCCAAGTATGAACTATGAAGGAGATGGCATGACAAATCACAAGTAAAAAGATAGAGGAGAAATATTGCACAATCGTGAAGCTTTAACTTCAATACTGATCTTCTCTAAAGGGAAAAAAAGAGTATGGAGCTCAACAGGGTACTGAATGCGCATGGAGAGATCTTACTCTAATAATGGGTTTTAAAATGACTTAAAAAATAATATATTATGGTGGCATTAGTACTGCTTATTAGAGTAAATGGTTAAGCAGTACTAATGCTTAACCTAAAGGCCATTAATTTCAATAAAAACCACCCTGCAAGAAAAAAAAAATCTCCTAGTTTTACCAAAAAAAAAAACACCCTGCGAGAAATGGGATGATACTTGGTGCAATTCCTTTAGCAGGTATTAGACAACATGGTTGTTTTTTTTTTAAACAAAAACAACTGACACATCAGCAAAAACAATATCATTTTTTTTTGAGTTGTTTTCTTTTCAAAAGCAAAATCAACCATGTTATTGAACACCCCTCAAAGGCTCAAAGGCCTTCTACAACATGAATGCTTTTGTTTTCATTTGTTTTTGGAAATTGAAATCACTACATCAACAAAAGAACAAAAACATGTCCTTGAACTCTGTTTTTGTTTTCAAAGAGAAAAACAAGTTGGTATTGTTTCAAAAAATAGTACATGTTTTTGGAACTAACAAAATATTGGTTTTTAAAACAAAAATAATTTTTTAGTATAGAAATTATATGATTTATGAAACATGATGTTGAATAATAAGATGAAATCATGTTTTTGAAACCAGATTTAAGAACATGTTTTTGGTTTCAATTTTGAAAATAGAAAACACACAACCGAGAACATGCCTTTTGTGTTTTGTTTTAAGAAATAATTTGTTTTCAAACAAGATGGGTTTTATTTGTTTTTGGAGCGAACAACAAGTAAAACAACCCATGTTGTAGAACATCCCCTTAGTGTGCTAGTGCTCTTTGATTAATCACCAATTTTGGTGGAGCCACACTTTTTATCGCCAGTCAATTAAGATTGTCTTATTATAAAAAAGAAATGAAAAAAAAACGCTCAATTTGTAAGCCTAGGTACATGATATTTTGAAAGTCAAAATAAAATTTGAGGCCTTAAGACGCCAAGATGGAAATCTATAACCTCCTTGATTCCTAAAAGAAATTCCATTCCATATTGATTACTGGATTAGTTGCCATTGATGGCTGTGCTAGAGGATAAGGGTGTCAATGGAACAGATTGGATGGACCAACAAGGCATATTGGATTGGACCAATCCGATCCAAAATATTTATTAAATTGGATAGGACATGGTCTGTTCGTAATAAATTTATATTGGACTGGGTTGGATTAAGCCAATATGTGATCATAATATAGGTATCAATGGACTGTGTGGATTTGGGTTGAAATCAATCTAAATTTAAACGATTTTGAACATATTGGATGGTCCAGACATTAAATTGGATTGATCCAAAATATTTATTAGATTGGATTGGACATGATCCATTTGTAATAGGCTCACATTGGACTGGATCAGATTAGACCAAATCCAATCCACTTGGCACCCCTACTATGGGCTACTTAACCAATAATAATGCCCCAAGTCCATTTTTTATGCAATTCAAGGTCATACTCTGAGAAGCGCAAGATCATTTTAAAAGGAGAAGCCAATGGATTTATATTTGAACTCGTAACAAGCTTTTAATAGCCACTTTGGTTAGTAGGTTTTTAACAACTAATTTGTTAGTGAGCTTCGAGCAACCAGTTTGTCGTGGGTTTATAACAACTAATTTTATTAAATGCTTCAATAGCTGGTTTTACATTAAATGCTTTAATGTAAAAGCTTAGAGTTTTTTTTTTTTTTTACATTAAATGTAATTCTAAGCATAAGGCACCAAGTTCTTTCCTTTAATGTGTGAAAGCTTAGAGTTTTTTTTTTTTTTTAAAGAGTTGAAAGAGTCCTATACCTCTTGCATGAGTAAGCCCCCAACTTATTACCTTCTTATTGTAATCCTCTCTATATCTACAAAATTCCATTTTCTTTCTTTTTTGTCACACTCTGATTTCTCTTTGAGCATTTTAGTTTCGTTTTCCTTCTTCATATTTGAGCTGCATCAAAGGGTTCCTTAGAACTACTTCATTTCTAACCCTATTTTTTCTAGCCTTTCTACTCATCCATCTCAGCATATCCGTATCTGCCACATTCAATTTTTTGAACGTGTTTAACATTCACATATTTATTATTGAATTTACCAGATCTAATAGCATCCATTGTCACCAATACCCCAAAACAGATTATATAATGTACTTCATCTACTGAATTACATAGGGGCATGCGTTTTACTAAGTTTATGTTTGCATCAATCTCCCATTTCTTTCCCCCCCCCAAAAAAAAAAAAAATAAATAAATAAATAAAAGATAAAAAGCTCCCATTTCTTGTGAAGCATATAAGCATATACTTGGGGGTCGTGACTGGTGAGTGCAAATCTCTCACTCTCTCTCTCTATCTGTCTCTCTCTCAGTACAATTGCTATTGGTTACAAAGTCAAAACCTCCCCATGTGAAAATAAAAATGTGGCTCCGACGATTTTTCGCTCACGCCATTTTGGTTATTTAAGAAATCTAGAATGTGGTCAACTTAGAAGCAAAAACAAATAAAACAGATCCTGTAGAAAATACTGCAATAATTATAAAGGCAAGCGATTGGTCCGGGCCCCTTACCGATTTGACGGAATTTCAAAACCTAAGTAAACAATTCCAGCCACGGATATTCCTCTTTGATCCGTGTCCCTTTCTGATAATCATCAACAAATAGAATATTAAATAAAAAGTTGTAGATGCTCAGAAATTGNGGGGGGGGTTGAAATGATGCACCAATAACAAGCCCAACACCAACATAAAGCAAAAAGGGTTACACGTGCTTAGCACTAGGGTTGGAGTGAGGTTCAAGGGCACGCTTTGGCTTGAATCAAGGAGACAGACCCTCTGACTAGGGTTCATAGCCCCTAAGAGAATGTCCCTTTTGCATTGTTCTCCAACTCCTAAAAGTGATCTTAAGTACATATAATAACTCGAATTACATTAAAATAAAATAAAACAACAGGAAGTGATACACCACTTTCTAACCCTACCTACATACATGTTAATCATAGGTGTTATAATTGTTAAAGCTTTTCCTATGAAAAAGGGGCTTTCCCTTTTTTTTTTTTTCCCTCCTTGAGTGCTAGGCCTTTTTACAACCCTTGATCACAGAAGATGTAATAATGATGATCATGATATGGGGTTTTGGATTATGGTGAAGAAATGATGATGAGTATGATTTTGGGTTTGGTTAATTCTTCTTCTCCTTCGGAGTTTGGTTACGAGGGGTTGTAGTATGATATTTGTTTTATTTTTTAATTATTTTGGTTGGTCTTTTGGGGTGGTGGAATAATGGGAGGAAGAATCTTGACTAGGGTTTTGGGAGTGGGAAAATTGTTTGCATGGGAAAAGGGAGGTTGGGTGGAAGGTTGGTGGATGAACAATTTACAGAATCAGCCTTGTGACCAAGGGTTTCTAGGGCTTTGACTTGTGATCTGAGGAACTTGAGATAGTTTGCAGCTTCATCAAGCATTGTAGCAGTGTCCATCTTGGTTCCCCCGGGAACTAGCCTCTGTAACACCCTAATTCTCTCACTGATTCTTTCCCTTCTATGTCTTGCTGCTACTGTTTGTGGATCACTTGATATTCTTACATTCTTCCTCTTGGGCTTCTCCACCACCTCCAAGCCTAGATTCACGGGCCTGAAAACCGCAGCTCGGTAAATCATTTCCTTCATCTGCGCTATGGCCTCCGCATCTAGCTCATCGGCTGAAGAAAAAGAAGAATTCGACTGCTGGAAGTTGATGTTTGATGATCTTTGCTTCTCCGATCTGGGTTTCTTTGGTTTTGGTTGGTTCTCCGGGATGAGCCGGAAGCCACCATCCGTAGTCGAAGAATCTGACTGAAGAAGATCGAAGTAATGATGATTGTTCGGTCTCATCACTTTGAGTTGTTGTTCAACCTTGCTTCTCTTATTAGAATTAGGCCCAACATCTGAAGGTCTGCCATGGTTGACAAATGGATTTGAAGAACCCCGTGAGACCGCTTCATCAAGTTCATTATTAAACCGCCAGCACATATCTTTGTTGCTCCCGTTAGAGCCATTGTTCTCGGACTCTCCCGATGAAACAGCACCACCAGAATTAAAATTCCATAAATTTCTGCAATCCGATAAGATCATGGAAATATCATCATCTTCCATTGATGTGTCTGTATTGCTGTTGGTTGCTGACAGCAAGCAGTCGAAGGATTCAAGTGAACCAGTATCAGAAACTCCAGCCCTGCCATCTTTAACTCGTAATCGATCCACTGCGCCTAATTCTGCCATTAAATCACTCAATGGGTTGATGCTGCAAGGCCTGTTGATCACATGGTTAGAGCATAATTCTGCAGTAGTTGGAGCTTCTCCCCACGCCGCGCTTCCAGTTCCTGACTTAGCAAGAAGCGCTGCATCTGCTAACCGTATCGCTTCTTGGCGCTGCAACAAGTTCAAATCAGAAACTACATTTATCGAATCCAAGGTCGGAACTAATTGCTGGGCCATTTCGTTTACTCCTTCGGAATTTGAACCTATTCCAGACATCCTCGTTCTTTGAAAAACACCCTCATAGAGATCCACCTTGCCACTAAGAATTCCATAATTAATGGTCGTATTAGACGCTATGGAGCCTTGAGCAAGTTCATGTTGTACTTCATTGCTCCATATCGACGGCTCGTCCCAACCCAGACAATCCATTATCAGACGAAATTTGATTCGAGACAGAGAAAAAACAAAGAGATTTCACGGCAAGTATTTCTGTACAACTGCAGCATCCAATTGACAAGAATAGAAAAGTTCAGATGGACAGACAGACTGAAAGTCTGTTGTTTCATTCTATATATAGCAGTTGTATATATAACTTTTCTTTAATTTTTGGGTAGTATAGATGTTATGTCTTTAAGTTCTAGATATCAGGAATAGCATCATCAAGTACAAAATGCATCACTGAAGCCCAAAAATCATGAAATAGTGTCAAAGTCATACAGAAGAAGAAAATATGAAGAAACTTGAATTCATGGGAGGTACCTGTTTCAGATCTGGCTGCACTGAAGTTGGAAAACGTGAAGAACGAGCTATAGCTATCCAAAGAAACCCCCCGTTTCAAGTATTCGCGAACTCGAACGAGATAAAGAAAGCCGAATCAAACTTCAGCTCTGAACCACCTTTTCTATAACGGGACTACCAGCGTTAACAACCATATTTATTGCATACCATGATAACTGTGAGCAGGAAAAAAGAAGTCATCGCTAATGTCAATTTTGGCAACTTTTCCGAAATTTTTTCCCAAGAACTCATACAGTGTGGAAGCATATACACAAAGACAGCGCAGAAATAACAGCAAGGAAAGAAGAAGAAGAAGAAGAGAGAAGATCAAAGTTATTGGGTTTGTATGAGGGAACAATATTGTCACGAAGACTGAAATAAGATAAGCTTATATAGGAATGACAGATGGTCCCATCTGCTACTAGAAGTAGTACTTGAACTTGTAAAATATGAGAGAGACTTAGAGAAATAAAATAAAATATAGATGTAACAGCTCTGCTAAGTAGAGGTATTGGTTTTCAAAAAGATGAAGCCTTTTTTTTTTCTTTTTTTGGGTCAGTTTGGTGGGGGTGTGTGGGAGTATTTTTCAGATGGGGAGCATGAGAATTCTGAGAATCATGTTGAATACTATTAATTAAATAATTAACAACAACAATAAGAAATGGGGAAAAGCTCTGCACCTCCTTTTTGGCTGCTCCTGCATCTCTTCCATGCGCTCTGTGATAAACTGCACTAGTGCAGTGAGACTGAGCAGCTTTGGAGCTAGCACTACCACTTTGATCTTCTTATATAAAAAGCAGATTAATCATCGTTTTAATCATCAAATATAAACATCAATATATTCTTCTCCCTAATTAATGCTGTGTGGTCATAGTACATGATTAATTTGCAATTAAGTGAAATTTACTTGAGCAAGCTAGGAGGAATTAAGATGCATGTAATTATGTATGGTCCCCCTCCTCTACTAGTTACTTATTAAGAGGGTCTGATGACCTTGGGCCTGCAATAGTGATGTACAATCAGGGGGCCGATTTATAACTATGACCCATCTATCCTTCCCTGGATGTAACTGTTATTTCTTAGTGAATGTGGGCTCGTGGGTGTGGGGGAAAATGCATATATATATATATATATATATATATATATATATATATACATATGGTCCCCATGCATTAGTAAACCCTAAATAGGGTCTAATGTCTCTGTACCTGCACAAATTGATGTACGTGCAGGGGAATATAACTAGGACTCACTGTCCAATTGGTCTCTGATGAGCACGGATCTTAGCTGAGAGAAGTTAGTTGGTTCTCAGGATAGGAGTTACTGTCATTTGCAGAAGATGAAGATATTCTGTGATTTGGTAGACCACATTTGGTGTATAGTAGAGTGCATTACAGCCTTAACTTTCCTCTATACTCTAGAGTCTAGGCTCTAGCTAGTAAAGGTGAAAAATTCTTGTTATATACAAAAAATAAGGTGCATATTGCCAGAGACACATAAGATGAGAAGGTACATGATGCTACCGATGCATGAACTGTTTCTTCTTTTCAACGACTGACCTAGGACTTCCACCATTCAAGAGGTGGCCCAGTCCCACCATTTGAAACGTCCAGATCAATGAATCCATGCCCATGGTCCACTTGTATAAGATGGCTAGGTTCATGAGCGAATATGAACCCCTCTCTCTATAACAATTCTTATCATCAACATAATACCCTTCACATCCATATGTATTTAAGCGTATCTGCAGGGCAGAGTCATTGGCATTAGTACAAACCCAGAGAGAGAGAGAGACCCACTGGATTCCCAACATGTTCAATCTCATAGTCCATATAATGGTTTTCACGTACTACTAATATGATCAGCCATCAACTTTCTGATATATTTTAATATAAATCTTATCTACAAAAGTGAGCTCATTTTGCATATATAGATGACTAAGTATTTTTGGGTCTGAACTTTTTCCATGAATACAGGGGTGGAATGGGTCTAATACCATCCACTGAGTTTTTTTGCCATGTGTAAGATTGCTTGGTCATTCAGATCAGAGAGAGTTGAGGTTTACACAATTAAAGAGGTAGATAGAAATGAGGATATATATAAATGTTTAAAACAGTAAAAACGAGAAATAGTAGTGAGAGTAAAAAATTGTAACACAGGAGAAGGTAGAAATGGAAAATAAAACGTGTAAGGTAGTGGTGGTAAGGAGGGAGAGAAGAGGGGGAGGGGGGGTTGGACTATGGAATTTAAAACATGCTGGCTGGCAGGCAAGGGAGTCAGACTGAAGAAGATGGCACACGCAAGTGGTTCCTAAAATTTTGTCTGTTTACATCAACATAACAAGTTTTATTTTTTCCTAATTTTTTAATCTTGTCAAGTCTACATATATACTTGTAACCAGATCAGAGAGAGAGAGAGAGAGAGAGAGAGTATCAGAGGTACTGAGTCATTGCACATGCACCCATGATTACACGGCTCAGTGAATGTGGGTTTGATTTCATGGGATTTGCTCCTTCTGTCACTGATCTCCAGCACCTTCGATTAATGCTAACTCTTATGTTTTTTCTCACCTTGCCTGAACAGAAGGATAAATACAAATTTGAGATTGGTTCAGACTTCAGAGTGGCCCATTGAGAGAGAGAGAGAGAGAATTGTATGCCACCATTAAAGACTTAATAGTTGCAGACTGAGGATGTAACTGGTTGAGCCCCAATATAAAGAGCAAACTAATACCTTACGCACAAGTTGCTTGTGTTGTGTGCGACAGAAGAGAACTACACATGCCCAAGCAAACCCATTAAATGTGCAGGTTATCATTTCCGTCAATAGATTATTACCATCAGACTGTGGATTCCGTATACATGAACCCACCAACCCATTAACTTAGTGCCTATACCTCTTTAATTGCCGGGGCCATACACATTGATTAACTTGAAGATACCAAAGAAAGAACAAAACACAGACCATCCAGTTTGATAATTAAGAGAAAAGCTAGAGTTGAGAGTCTGGTAAATGCATGTGTCACCTGCGACAGTTCATCCATCTATTCATCTTCCCAACAACATCTACTATTTTAGCCACATGGCAGCCTGTGCGATGTTGTGGCCAAACAGGACTGTTGGGTTGAAATTAACTTGGGTAGATAAATCCTTTAAAGGAGAAGAATCTGCCAGAGCTGGGTTCCATGGAGAATATTAGATCAACCCAACTCGTGACCCCACCTTAACAATATCTTTATGAATGGAGCTGGGTGGGTGGGACCGTTGGGGTAAATAAATTAATACAGGAAAAGGCAAATTACCAACTTCTGCCTCATTTAATTAATTAGCTAGAAATTACAAGTGAAGTTTTCCTTTCCTTGATTTCCATTTCCAAATACAGAGTTAACTTTTTTAAAGCCTTCTTTGCCCTTCCTCAAATCGAACCGAATTTGCTTGGTTTTATAAATGCAGATTCTTTCCTGTTTGACATGCATAAAGGCATTTCTCTTTCATGAGTTATTCCCTTTTTTTTTTTCTTTTTCAAATCAATCAAAAAGAGCTAAATACCACAATGGTACATGTGAGTAATGAAACAAACCAGTTGGTAGTAGGAGGATATAAAAGAGATTGAATGATGCATGTTTGGACTTGTTTTGGCCTCTTCTTGCTGTAACGGTCTTGGCAAACTAGCCATGACAGCTACTTTTTTTCCTTCCCTAGCCTTCAGTTAATATCATTACCAAATTTTACTGCCTCAACAACATTATTATTATTTCCCGTGAACCGAAGAAGCGTTTAGGGTCCGTTTGGTTCACGGGAAAAAGGGGTCCGGAATCGGAACCAAAATATTCAATCGTTTCCTGATGGAATGGCATTATCCCATTTGAGGACGATTCCAATTTCAATTTTGAATACAAACCAAACGAACCCTTAATATTATCATAAAACCCAGATGTTAAATTTTCTCATCACATGATCCGTCAACTGGCTTCTGTAATTGGGTTTTCACTTCTGCAGTCAAGCACTCAAGCTTGAAGCTTGTATTGTTGTCGTCACCAACTAGAATTCCATCTCCATGAGAGAAGCTTGCATTTGCAGCGAGCACAGCACAGTACAGCCTCTAACAGTGCTCTCTCTTGCAACTGAACGTAGAAGCCACCATCAAACAGGCCGTTTAGTTTGATTTTATTTTCGTCCCTTCCTGAGTTCTTCTAGGCCCACTTAAGGCTGTAACAGGATAAATGCGGCAGCCATCAGCGGTGGTGTCACTTTTCTTGGTTGAATTTTTATTGGGTGCTTTCAAGTCAATAAAACTATGCAATTTAAGCAGTACTGAAAGTTAGCGATGAAATACAACAACAATACATAAGTACAACGGAATTTATTGTGATCGGAAATTACTGCTCCAATTTTGTTTTTTGTGACACAGATTGGAGGGTGTTGGATCGGACAGAGTTAAGTTAGATTGAGAGAGAGAGAGAGAGAGAGGTGTTCTCTGGGCTTCTAGGTCAAATGAGTTATGCGAAAAAACCGCATCTAAAACCTGCCGTCTCCGGCAAACATCTCTTTCTGAAAATTAATTAAGCTTTGTTTTTTAGTGAGATAGGACGCAGTACACATGCATTGCATTCCCTGGATCAACTCAGACCAACATTATATTCTTCCTTTATTTTAAATTCTTCATATAAAGGATCCTTCATTACCTATTTTGATTCATCTTAATGCAGTGATGTGCGTTAGAGATCACGATTCCACACTCAGGAATATGCAAGATTATTCAACTCCCACAGTCCATCGTTAGGGTTGCAACTTGGGTTGGGTTAGCCCGAACCCAGTCCGAAAATGTTGAGCTGAGTTTCATTGGGCTGAGGTTCAGGTTAAGGTTAAAGGATGAAAAGTACTAATCCAATTTAACCGCGGATTGGATTAGGGTTGAGTTTTAATCGACCAATTTGACCCAATCCAAACTTGCCTTAACCACATATTTATATATGTACAAATATCATATAAGTATATATAATTATATATAGTATCTAAATACTTTTTTATGGTGCAAGTGGGATTTTATCCCAAGTCTCCACAACGACTATAAGAAGACCTTACCAACCAGTTGGTTGGTATCTTGCATGTATATAAATATATAGGTATGTGCATGTACATAAATATGCATATGTTATGCCGGAAAAGGTATTATGTTGGAAAAACTTGCAACCATGCAAGCAATCAGTACCATAAAAGTAGTAACCAGGTGGGTTTCATCAAAGTTCATGGGGGTTGTTATTGATCAACTACCAACGTGGTTCAAGAGATGAATAAGTGATTTATCCAAGTCTAGGGATTATTACTTAGGAATCCTCATTTATCATGGGATCTAATATAGCAATGTTAGTGATGATGCACAATCTGGTGCTCCGTGCTGGAGGACAGCTCAGATGTCGAAGTGGTGAAGTCAATTAGTTGCAAAAAAGTAATGATCAGAATATCTGAGGCGGGCACTCCGATGCTTAAATCAGCAAAGAGTGTTTGGATGCTAGAAAGCAAGAGAACTTTGAGAACTTGAGAGTTAAATTATGTGTACCTTCTCTAATCAATGGGATGTCTTTATATAGGTGTGGGTTGCGTGGACTTCACGTAGTGCATCCAATATTTCCTGGAGGACATGGCTTACCGGCCCACGTCGCTTGGAATTGGCTTCTGCATAAAGTGATAGTGCTTATCCGATTGTCTCCGAAGCGGGCGGGGTGGGAGATAGCTCTATTAGTGAGGCGATGTGATCCCAGAGGATTCGGAGATGATAGCCTACATGTGATGGAGGTCGGTCGCCACATCATGTAGATTGCCAACCAAGTCAGCGGAGGCAAATTGCCTCTTATGCCAATCTGGCCCTATCGAGATGTCTGCAAGTCGGCCCTGTCAAGGTGGTGCCAAGACAGTTAAGGCAGTCGAGGTATACTCGAAGTGTTTTTGAAATCATTTCCTACATGGCACTTAGATGTCATGAGATAGTTTTGAGGGTGCCACGATGTCACTGAAGGGTAAAATCAACACTCATCAGTAACTTACCAATTGGCCAACTTACCCTACTAAATACTAGTAATGGAACGAAATCTAAAAAATAAGAATATTTTGGAGAAAAGGAAATAAAGAAATCGGACCAATCCAAATCCAGCGCGGACTCAACATGAAAGCTAGGTTGGGTTGGGGGTTCAACAGCCCGGGTTGGATTAGGGGTTGACCTCAACCCGATCTAACCGTTCTCTCTCTTTCGCGGTCTATGCCGGGACGTCAAAATCGCAAAATTTAATGTCAGCTGGAGTAGGATTCAATAGAATCGTCGCTTTCTTCCTTTCTTCCGCCTTATTTCTGCTAACGGATGTGAGCTGTCGGGTGGGCTTACGTTACCTCATCTGCCCCTCCTTCTCGACCGTTTTTTGGCTTTATTGTCTCATCCGCTGACGCTGAGGCTGATCTCGTCTGGTTTTGATAATCATTTCTTCTCAACTCTCATCCTCTCCCCAAGGGCCCAGCCCAGCCCACCCCAACCCTAATCGGAGGTTCCAACAAGTGGGGTAGGGCCCACTCTGTTCCCAGTTGTTCTATTACCACAGCCACACGTGAACATCACTACGTCGCACCTACGTGGCTTCCCTTGAGTGGTTCTTTCCCCTAGTGGATCGCCCCTTCTCACATGGGAAATCACAACAGTAGAGCTGTATCTGGGACCATCTGCTTGGCCCCACCACCACCACCCTTTACCCTTTAACCCCCTTTTTTCTTTTTTCTTTTTATATATATAATATTTTATCCTAATTAAGGCTTCTGATTTATCTATGTTGGCACCCTGAAGTTGATCTCTTTTGGTTTCTAAATAGATATTTTTCCCAAAGAAAAGGGGGAACGAACCTACGTGGTTGGATCTGAAACGTCCATCCTTCGAGTCCCATTTATACATGGTGGGCCCCGATTGGAGATTTGAGTGCCGGGCGACCCGTCTAGAAAACGAGATAACACGCTGATTATTATAATTATTGATGAAGCTGAGGTGATCAAGAAGGATAAGAAAGAAAGGCGTTGGGTAGAAGAGTAGACGGATGTCGGCGAACAAAGATAGAGATGGCGAATGTGACCGCCGTCAAGGGAGTACCGGCCGTGATGATGTGGGTGTCAGATCCGTGAGGCTGAGGGTTCTGTTCGTTCATTCACTTCCCCGCTGTAACTCTCCTGTCTGCTCTCTTATCACCCTTGATTGAAAATCAGGTGAATCATCATTTTCTTAATACCCCCCCCCCCCCAAAGAAATGAAAAGAAAATAAAATTCTTTCATTGTATGTTCTGTAGAGAGAGAGAGAGAGGTAGAAGCAGCTAAGTTTAAGTAGCCCAGGATGTTCCACGCTAGACATGCAATGGATGGCCACAATAAACGCGTGAGCTGTACGAAGGGTTTTATTACGTGAATGTAGTCGTAAAGGGTCTCTACCAAATGTTCATCAATTTGTTCTCATTGTTGGCCATCAGAGATCAGCTCCTCCCCCCGTCTCCCCACTTTTAATTTTATACCTTGGTGAATAAATTTGGGCCCAACCCAACCCAACATCCACCACGGGTGCAGGAGTGAGGAGCCTCAGCCCCGTTTTAAATTGAAGCATTTAAGCTGTGATAATGACACCATGTTGCCTAAAGATTTGGATCGAATCAATGGCACTGTTGGGGATCCACCACCGATCTGCAGCTTTTGCCAGCCTCGCCATCCAGTACAAAGTTTAATGTTCTTATCATCAATGTACGTTCTGAGGGGTCATCACTTACTGCCACATGGGCCCCCATCTTGGAAGGTCAAAAGATCCATCCCTATTCCCCCATTTCCTACCCATTTTTGAGCTACCAAACCCAATCATGATTCACCTCCGCTCTTGGGTTGGGCTTTTGTTCTACCTTTTTTCTTTTTTTTTTTCATTATTATTATTCCCCCCAACCCAAATGAGAACGAGAGGTCCCCAATGAGCCACAGTGCAATTATCGATCCAAATCTCCCAGAATTTGTCTTAGCTCCTAGGTTTAGAGACACCCGCCCACGGGAAACAGACACAAATATCTCCCTACTCAATACTCATCGCCCGAATCCAAATGCAAATTGACACACAGGAATGAGCGCCGCAAACAATGCAAGGATTTTTTTTTTTTTGGAACTAAATCACGCTCTCACAATGAAGTTATCTCTCTTGATAAGTCCTAGGAAAGAAAAAATGGTACTAGACTCCTAACCCACCACAATTAACTAAAGCCCATCCAACACGGATCATGAATCCGGGGAGCTGTCTTAGGGCAAGGTACTCTGCACCACTTGTTATTTGGAGAATTTGGGTCCATCAGTCCATGTACCCCCACCCCCAACTCCCCCGGCTAAGCACATCTAGACAAATATGGTGGGACCAATATCCCCCATCCCTTTTCTTTCTCCTTTCACTGACTAAATAATTCTCACTCACTGTTATTAGCTATTAGTTCCTCAAACTTTACAGTAATAAGGGGTATCACTCCATGCTTCTCAAATTACCATGACAATTTTTTTTTTTTTTTCTGGTGCTCTATATTTAATTTCTAACAACAATGGCATAACTCGTCCTTTCCATATTGGAGGACTACTACGAATAATGTAAAATGTTCACCCAATAAGCTGTTGGGACGTCTTAGGTTCGACTGTAACCGTTTTAACTTCTCTACTCAACCCAACAGTAATTAATAAATAAATAATCAATTCAACGAAGCCTTCTACCAACTATATGAGGTTGGCTGCATAAATCATCCCTGTTCCACCATTCTTCTCTCAAATTTCACCCACATATAATCCTACTTAAATTATACGCTAAATATCAAGTCGGGTGTTTTCAAAAACATTGAAAAGGTGAGGTGACATATCCTATGACAAATTATCATTAATGCGCGCTTCTTTTTATCAAGAGTACTAAATATTAGTACTTTGAACCCTATTTCCAATTGAAAGTCATTTGAAGTTACTCCCCTCTTCCATTTCATCCTCAGTCTCTCTTTCTCAAATATATATATGGCAGGCATCGCAGCTCTTAGCATGTGCTATGCAATCTGACAGGACCGTAGGCCAGTAGTGGCATCTCAGCCTCTCCAAATATATTCATGATCACCTTACCATGAAAGTATGAAGTAGATGATAAGGATAGTGGGGATAGGCAATTTTTCCACTGCTCAAGCGGGGATGGGGATGGGATTGGAAATAATTGAGATGCCCGATCGGGTTTGGGGACAGGGATGGGAAGTGAAGTCCCTGAACAGACCCAACTAAGGAGCGTTCAATAATATAATTGGTTTTGTTTTTGAAAACAAAAGCAATTACTTGATGTCGTATAGTTGTTTTTGTTCTAACAAAAGCCAACCATGTTGCAAACACCCCCTAATCCGTTTGGGCCTAGAATTTTAAGACCCGGCCGGTCGGGCCAGAAATTATCAACCCTAATCCTCATGCTTTTAAAAGAGGCTTTCAAACCTAAACCCCTAAAGGTGGAACCAGTAAAAGAGTATGCACCATTTGCAGATTTTAGTCAGTCCAAGTCTCGGTTGCCCATATCCAGAGACCATGGCTTAAACTAGGCTCTCTGATCCTCAAAATTCTCTATCCAAACGTTCTCATTTGAAATTGCTACTCAAATAAGGAATAGAAAATTATTAGAAAACCCAGGCATTCAACCAAAATTAGATAAGTGTACATAAATAACCTAGCAGATATCTTATCAAGTTTTCAAGGGCAAAGATCAACCCAGATATCTAGTTAACATTTTTTTAACATATGGAGGGTGTTGTTGACAATGGGCAAAGATCAGGTCATATTGCACATTTGCACTACGACAATAAACCTAACATGATGCCACAGCATATCAAATTAGGGTTTTAGACACCACATTCAAGAAAATAAATCATCAATATGTGCCTACATCAGAGCTTGGAATATTCGGTTTATGGCTATTCCATGAATGCTCTCTTAGTGGGACATGCTTAACGCACTAAAAGTTAATAATCTTCAAAAACACTCAACATAAAAACATCGCACAAAAGCTAGGCAAATTTTTTGGCTCAACCTTTGTCCGCAACAAAGTTGATATTGAGCGAGAATCATGTTGCAGAGACCACTAAAGGCACAGAAACTGCAAAGGAAGAATGTCTGGCATTCTATTGTCTTACCAATTTTTATGCAAGTGCTTAATATGTCCAACATGCTTATATATGAGCAAATTAATAAAAACATTCTTGGGCACTAATAGCAGAACAGTCGACAATGTCATCAAGTCTAAACCCTTCACCAATGCACATCATCTTGGAATTCATGAATGTAAGTGGAAGACAATAAATGCATAGCCTGCTAAACTATTGGTATGAGTAAACTATTTATTTTTCTCCACATACAGCAGGTTATAGATAATTAGATATCGATGATAATATTCAAAGGTTTATACCAATTTTTTTTTTAACATCAGCTGGAGAGTGAGACAGAATCCAAATATTTCCAATATAAATGTGTCAGCATAGTTTCCATACTAAAGAATGATGATGTGACTGTTTCATTGAGTAACCCTGCTGTTTTACCATTAATTGGCTCAAGAACTTAGACACTTTTTTTTTTCTATTTTAACCAAGAATAAGAAAAAAATGGCTCTCATGAGACACGTAATGAAAGCATTTTCATCTGATCATCACGATATGACATGACAAGTCAAGCTGGAATGGTAAAATATGATACCTGTAATTACAAGCTTACTTTAACTTTCTCATTAGCCATCTGTGAACTAATATCAAGTACTTTCTAGCTTCTAGACTTGTATTTCCTCTCCTAGGACAGAAGAATTATTAAATGGCATTATACCACAGAAGTTGTGCAGCAGTGTACCATGGAATATAGAAGAGGGGATAGATGGCCAATCTGCATAACATTTGATGCAGAAACATTGACAACACAGTGTACCATGGACCACAAAGTACCACAAGGATTGTTTATTCAATTTTTCTATCATCTTCTAGTACATATAGAGGAGAAAATAGACAGCATCTACAGCTGCACAGATCATCACTTCAGAAAATGGCCTAATTGTCATAAAATTGGGCATCCTGAGAATGCACATTAGGAGACATAGCAATAGTTAGCAGGAAGGTGTGGCCAATAACATTATAAATGTATGCCATTCCAACAAAATTCTGCACCCAGCTATAAATTAACTAATTAAATAAAAATTAATAAAAGAAAAAACATAAAAGGTCATTACCCAATGTTGGTCCTATATATCTGGAATGTTGGGAGGGATAGGCTGGTATACAGACCTAACCTTTCACCTTTATTTCTTTTTTTCTCTTTTGGGCACAAAGTGGCTACTATCAGACTCGAACCCATGTTCAAGATTTTTCCATTGCACCAAGCAATGGCCCCTTAATAAAAGAAAACAATGTAAATAAAATTATATTAAAACTTAGAACTAATATTAATATTCTTGCAAACATACTCTAGTTGTTGTATCTTTGGTACTAAATCCTGAATCAAATTGAAAATATCTGATCCGGCTATTCTGACTTTTAACAACATACAGATATTAGTCCTGTATTCCTGCCTGAATTTCCAGACACATGCTTTAGAATCTTATCCAGGACGAAAATGAGTAATCCCTTCCATTTCAGAAATACCAATTTGTATCAGTGTTTTAAAGGGCACAGGAGGTGTGTGCTTGGAGAGGTGTACAGGAGAGGAACTTAGAAAGGCATACACCATGCATGTTTTTACCTTTTTAAGGCAATTTCTATAATAATATATTATAAATTTTTATGAATAAATATTACAAATAGAAGTGGGGGGAACCATTTCATTATGTAGCCTATTAGATATTAACATGATACAAAGAAGGAAAAAACCTCAGAACTTGTTTATTATAACAATTATGATAAAATACTATAAATAGAAGTATGGGAACCGTGGCTTTCAATGCTTTACATTCATTTGAAAATGAGGTGACATACTTGTTTATGTTAACAACTTAATATCATAAAATTTAAGTGAACCATTAGTTCTGAAATTTTGATTTGCAACTTTTCCCGTGATGCATTGATAGCTGATGATAATTGTGTAATTACGGATTATGATACTTCATGTGATGAGTTCTTCAATTTTATATTTAAATGTGATGATTCTATCATTAGAAAATGCAAATATGGAATTTTCTAGTTTCTCATAGTTTTCCTATTTTTGGGATATTTATCATAGATATTTATTTATTCATTTATTTTTTAATAATTTCATCATCATCCAAGCCTTGTCCCAACTATAAGGAGTTGGCTAGGTGAATCCTGTTTTACCATTCCATTCTGTTCAGTGCCATATCCATCATCAAATTATGGGTGCTTAAATCATTTCTTACTACTTACACCAAGTCCTTTTAATTAATTATTTATTAATTAAAAAACCCATGCTTGGGAACCACTATACATCAAAGTAAACAACTTCTAACTCTTCTATTAAGGATGTACAGTGAGCCACACAGCCACTATACATCCTTAAATCCCCTCTTTACCCACTACATTTTCAACTTAGTAGGGCATTTACCCTTCCTTCCCTACAAAACATAGCTCGAAAGTTTATCCTTTTCACAATTGATAATAGCCAAAAGTTAAGAAATCCCTAACTGTGCAAATAATGGCAGAGAATCTATGTTATAGCAAATTAATCAGTTTGTATAGAAGAAAATATAAAAGCAGTTCTCATATTATATCCCAAGAACAGACTCAACCATATCCGTTCTAAACAATATCAAGTATTTCAGACAAAGAATTCGTATTCTTAGTTGCAACATAACCGTGGCTTCCAGAAAAAGAAAATGATTGTTCAAGTGCACCTCTCTGAGGACACACTTGCTTCTCAAGAAGTCAAAATATGATAATACCTGCAATCACATCATCAAAATTGAAACAAAAGCAATACTGTATGCATTAAGAGGCATGGAAATCAAAAGAAATATTAGGAAATAATATGACTTTTTTGTATGGTATCATGGTTCATGGACGGGGAAAGCATGCCAATTCGTCAACTATTCCACCACACAAGCAGAATCTGGACAAATGATGTTCTCAGTAACAGTTAAAATAAGATTAGCTTTTTAAAGCTTCAAAATTTTCTTTCAATTCAAATAGTTATACAAGGCTAGAGCTTCTATTTTGGAGCTTTCCATCACACAAATAGAGGATTTTCAAACACCTTTTTCTTGTTTGGTTGTGTCAAAGCCAACACAATAAAAAATGTCTCTAGAATGTGCATTAATGAGATGGAGTGAATATTAAACTTTTTAGAAGTTGATGATCATTACAGCATCAGATGGGAATATATGATATAATCTCTATAAGCCATCCATGTCTTTGTCTCAACCTCAAAAGGCAACAAGGCAATAAAGATCCAGGCAGCCACTGGTGTCTGGCTAACCTGGCATTTTAAGAAGGAATTTCTCAAACAACAATAAAGAAAAAGCTCCTTTATGAAAAATAAATGATCCAGGCATTCTGTGCATACTACATAATATCATCCTATCCAACAACTGGAGTTGCAACATAATCTGCAATCTACAGAAATGCCTAGTGAGAATATTAACCAATTTTTCCATGTTCTGAAGGACGCCAGAAGAAGAATAACACCATTCCCTTGCTATAGAATGATCCAATGACAAAGACAAACTAATCAAGCAAAGAATTTGTGTACGACCATACAAACCACTAAAAGGTAAAAAGAGAGCATATACAATGCATTCAACCACCCAATCATTAGTAAATTAGGAAGGTGGTTAGAAACCTTACCACTCAAAAAGAAGCCTATGTAAGCATTCAATGAGATCATGAAATTATAAATGACCATTCAAATATTACCCCAGCTGAATGCACACATAAAAGATGCTAAACATCAAATCCAAAAACACAAAATCAAATCCATAGTCAACCAGACATAATTCCATAAATGAAAGAACCTGATAGTTGAACTGTTGAAGGGACTTCCTCAAGATTATGGAAATTTAGTTATTCGTCCACCACAGACAAAGTTTAAAATTAATGTCTTTCTGAAAACGATGACAGATAGTAACATCCAGGATTTTAGTTAGTCCCCAAATCTCTGGTCACTAAGCATACATCCAGGATTTTAGTTAGTCCCCAAATCTCTGGTCACTAAGCATCACAATCCAAGGAGAAGTTTCAAAAATGATTTATGAGACATTGAGATTATTGTGTAAAATGGGATATTTTTTCATTTAGTTCTATATCTTATTTATCATCTTGAGATGGATACAGTTTGTCTATCCTATTGATCATAAACATAAATACTGACCCTGGATGGTGTTAAACCCAAATTTCCAGTGAAGAAATCAAAATTCAAAAATCTTAAAATATAAACATAGAAACAAGGAAAAGGAATGTAGGTATTTGAATATTGCTAAAGAAAGACAAATCACCATTTGTAGCATTGATCCTTTATTTTTCTCCAAACAACTAAGCTTAACTCTTCTAAAAAGCACATTCTGAGTCAGAAATATGAAGAAGCCAATAAAAGATATTACTGAAGAGATTATGTAATAGTAATACCACAATAACATGAATTCACAAGGAGGCCAGCAAAAGATGTGTAACCATCTCTCATTTGCTGATCTTGTCCTTCATTCCTGCTCCTCTATCATAGAATATGCTATCTGCATGATAAAAACCACTGACAAGATAAGAAATACCATTAGTCCCATTTAAAATTGACTGCAATTACTTCCAAATCAGATAAAATTTTGACAACCAACTTAAACTGACTGTGCAATTACTTCTAAGATAAAGTTTTGATCACAACATGAACCCACCTCAAGAAACAAGGTTATGGTATGAGCTCTGTCCAACAATCATGTTGCATGACCTCAAATTCCCAAATGAAAGGATTTTCTTTTAGAGTTTAAATATTTTAGTTTCCATTTGGGCTGAGATAATTGCATATGCTAGCCCAGTTTCACCCTTGATGTGAGCAAATTTACTTTTAAACGAAGGTCCAACAAGCATGATTCTCACAAGAAAAGTAAAATACACAATTACGCATCCATCAGAAGACCTCATATTATGGATGAAGGTTCTCAAACCCTATGCAGACTTTGGTCAAAAACAAATTTTCAAGTAAAAAATACAGATAAATATGTAGATACACAAAAGTGGCTACCACCCTTCATGTCAACATAAGTCCTCACAGACAAGTTCCTTTTGAAGCACTCCTTCAACATAGAACACATGGTGCCAAAAATTGGTACTCTCACAAACTTAACTATGGTGACCAATGAACAAAATTGGCCAAACATTGGGAGTGCTCTCAATTAGTAGTTTGAGTTTTTCTTAATCAGTTGGCATGCACCCAAATGTGGAAGTAAGCTGGTTATTGGTGGCCAAGAAAGGTCCATTCCATTGGAACTATGTTCAACAGGAAAGGCAGTACATAAGTGAGGCCAAGCCACTCAATAAAGGGAGAACAGCACAATTGGACTGAAAGGAGAGTACAGGAGCAGAACATGAATGTTATTCTTATTTGTTTATGTTATTCTATCTCTTGTACTTGTAATTTTTAGACCGTTTGTATCTTTGATGTACATCTTGTACGCTGCTTTTAATATCAATAAAAATCTTTCCTGGTTACTGATTAAAAAAAAAAAAAAAAAGAAAAAAGAATAGAAGAGCTGAACCATTAGAAGCCTTTTTTCTGCCTATAGATATTTTTTCCAAAGAAAAATTCTTAAGAGGCCAAAAGATTAAGAGAAGAACCTTGTTCCTATTGAAAGAATTATAATGGATATAACTGATTAATAATAAGACCTAAGTGCATAGGATGGATATGAGGCAACTTCCATTATAAGGCGCTGGCAAGTAGTTCTTATGCCTACCTCAGTATCAACCACATTGTGCAAGGTGATGCCAAATTGAAAATACAAAGGTTACAAAAGAAAATAATATCCAAGAGAACCACAAAACATACATGCAGAAAGGCATAAATAAAACCAATCAACTAGAGACCTCATTATAACATTTGCAATCATGAATGACTTCCGTGAAGCAATTAGACTCAAGTGTCAGATTATGCGCTTCCATTAGCATCTCACTACCCTGAATAAGGGTAACCTTGACCAAAAATATAGCATGTGGAAGACAAACTGTGAGGAATGAAAACAGCTTTTATCGGCAACAAGATAAGGATCTCATATAGTGTAAAATAAGCAACGTTGATAAAATATACAACTAAAAGTTCTTGAGAAGCAGTTCCATATATTTGACATCAATGCATATAATTGATGCAATGCTATAATAAATGAACAGAATGATATTCAATTTGATTTGCTAGCAGGTTAATTGGATCTCTTTGATGATTTATTTGCAGAAATGATGGTTCTTTTAGCAAATGAAGAACTCATTTACCTGTATAATACAAAGATTTCCATACCAACAAAGATCAACACCCTCACAATCAAAGTCATTTACCTGCAACTAGGATGTTAGGAGTGATCAAATAGTATGTTAGGATGTGAATTAAACATGCAGAAACAATAACAATCGGTAGCAAACCCAACAATAGAAATGTAGAAATTCTGGGAATCAAATTAACAGTAATATTTACTAAAAGAGTGATAGAATTAGATTCTTTTTATTCATGAGTGATATAATTAATTGAAAGGAGAACCATAAAAAAGAATCAAGAATAGGAGAGAACTGGGGGAGGGGTTGAGGACAACTGGAGCGAGATCCCCACAGGAGATTTTTTTTTTCCTTTTCATCCTCAACACCATCAAAAGAGATTTGTTGATATGGTAACTATGTGAAAACCCCTGAAATTAGACGAAACTGAAGGAGGCAAATAAAACATCTAGAAGCTGATATCTCAAATACAAAAGCTCACATAGAAACCTTACAAGGAGAACCCCAGGCCTGGTGCCCCTCAAACCAAATAAGTCGTGCCTATCTCTCGCAAACTAAAGACAATTCAGGGGATCTAGTGTAACCGTCCCACTAGTCCCTTGAAGGGTGCAGGGATAGGGTTGTGGGCCCACAGAAGCCCCATTCCCCAAGTTGAGAGTTTGCCCATTTACTCCTAAGGTTCTGAATTGGCAGTTCCAGTTTGGAGAATGATCAAAATCCTTGTTTTATCTTGTTTCATCACTAACAAACGTCCCTTTAACTTGATTTTTTTCTATTGCTACCAGATTTATTAGATGAGGTTTCCACAACAGCTCCTGCTTGTCTAACCTGAAAACTGCTGTCAATCTCTGGAGAGCATGAAAATGAACTGAAGCAGAGGAACCAAAGGATAAAAATGAAAAAAAAAATGTTTATTGTCTATGTTGTGGGAGAAATGTAAAATATTGAAGCAGTTGATATTGCACTAAGTTGCGAGAAAACTCAGCTTCCAAAGTCCTACTCAGTTCTTTCCCGCTTTTTTCTTTCTTTTTTCTTTTTTCACCTTGGCATCAGCAGAACAAGAATCGAAGAAGCTAGGAAGTGATATTCTTTGCAAATGGTGTAACAAGTGCTGTTCTAATAGGCAGGTTCTTAAGCTTCCAACCGATGAGATTCGTGATAAACTTTTCTAGGTATATGGTTGGATGATCTAGCACTGGCAGGAGCCAAAAACCTTCAAAAAATGGCAAAGCTACAGAGTACAGACGATGTATTATATTGAGTTGAAGAGGTGAAAATGATACGTAGCGGTGAACATAAGTATCTTTGGAAATAAACTAACAGTTTGTACTTTTGGCATGTACCTTCTTTCCACCCTCATCGGCAGAACATTCATACAATCATACTGTCCCTGAAGAATCCAGGCATGGTTTCTTAACTTTCATCTCAGGGTTAAGCATACCCTGACTTTTTTCAAATAGACTTAAATATGACTCCACTCGGATTGAACATACCCTCATTTGATAAAACGTTATATGAAGTTTCATAAACTTCTTGTAAAGAATAGACTTCTTTTGAAAGATATTACCTCCTTTCTTGCTTTAATTCTGCAACCCCAGATGGATCTCACCCCTAGTTGGGAACGTTCCCAACAGCCATAGTTTTTGTAACTGCAGAGCCCGATAGTTCATCGTTTGACCAAGAAGTCAAAAACAAAATGTAAGATCAAACATTGAGTGAATAGTATCCTGTATGAATACATGTGAAGAATAAATGAAATTAGGGCTCAGTTTGGAAGGAGCACACATACAAATAATGTAAGAGAAGAGTGGGGAATGGAGGGAGGAATGTAGAAGGTGGTGATGCTCTGTTTCTGGGTTAATTGCAATGCTAAAAGAAGGCGGTGGCACGGTGTTGCTTTGGTCTGGCCCGTTCAGTGGTTCTCCTTGAAGTCTAAGGTCTCTCTGGTTTTCTTTGAAAATTTGAAGAATGTAAGTGTATTTCAAAAATTCACGGCGGTAAAAGTTTATTTATTCACGTTCTTTCATTTTTCAGGTAAATAATTCAATCACCATTTTAATTATAAGGGTAAAATGTAAAAACCTTCTCTGAATTTCTAACAATCGTAAAAACCTCCTCTCATTTTAACAAAAGCTTTCCCTAAATTTTTTAAATAATTCGATGAAAACTTCCCATTCGTCAATGACCCAAACGCAAAATGGTAAACGGTTGCATTTTGAAAATACCGATTTTACCCTTTAATTAGTTTGTATATATTTTTATCGAAATAACCTGTCGACCTGTTATCCTCTTTTCCTTTCCTCTATCCGCTTTTCCTATCCCTAAACTCCACCATTTGAAGAGGAAGAATTCAACTCTTTCAATCTATCATTCAAACACAGACGGAAACCTGTTGAATGATATACCATGTTTTTACAAAGCATTTTTCTTATCAAAAATCTTCAAACCAGAGAACCTATACAGAGAATTGAATGCTTTAATGTAGGTGCCAATATCTCTATCGGGCCGATTGTATCTTTCACAGCCATCTCTAGCAAGTCGTAATTTCTTTTGCGAGCTGAGGTCCGGAGGAAACAGTCTGCTCTGTTAGAATTGGGACTTTGTACCCAAAAAGGTCTACTACAACAATGTGCTCAAGTTGAAGGATGTCATGATGGGTGATGGCCACGTTTGCGCATTGGTGGTCAAAACCGGAGTTGTCAACTGTTGCAGAGGGGAGAGAAACAATTTTCCGGCACCAGGGGCAGGCGAAGGTTTTGTCTCCATTACGTCAGGGCGAGGGTTTTCTTGTGGTATTTTGTACACAAGTCGTATAGTTAGGTGTTGTGGTATTAGACAAATTGGGCAGGAGATACAAGCCCAGTTCGGAAAATGTCTCTACCATTAACGTGCACAACCCTGGTGGATTTGAATTAGTACATATTTGATTGCATGCAACCATAATAGATTTATCTATAACTTACAAATCTATACTACTAATAAAAGAGCGAATAGTCCCATTTTCTAGACTTTTTATTAGACATTTTTACTCCTTATCTAATCAACATATAACGGACATAAAAAAAGGGTATACATGTCCTTTACTCTCACTCCAAAAACTGCTCATTTATAGCAGTTGAGAAACTGTCAACTTATAACTATTCAAAAACTGTCATTGTAACAATTAAGAAAGTGTCCACTTATAACTGTTCAAAAACTATCCATGAATTGTAAATAGTTTTGTCTTGGAGATACTTTCACGTACAAATGCACGTACATGTTTATTAGTATCATTAAAAGAATCATGAAGATAGAAGGCATCACTCTTGGTTTTTAAACTCTCATAGATATCTAAATCTAATGGACATCTCCATCCCTGTATAGGCACCCCTGTAAAAGACATCAGAATGTTAATATTTCCCTTGGGAGGCATCAAATAAGAAAACCGCCTTAAAGAACAGTTGCTGAAAACATGAGCTTTAAAAGAAATATGAGAACACTTGTCGGTCAAGAATAACCTCTAATGAATAACAATTTCCAGAAAAAAATGGATGGAATATTCCAATAATAGAATATACTGAGCAATATTGCCGCTGCAATAGATAAGGTTTAATAATGCTTTAGGGGTAATTTCACAAATGTTGACGTTTACCATCTGGTCATTGAGGGAAGGGAGGTTTTTGTTGAATTATTTAAAAATTCAAGGGAGATTTTCGTTAAAGTGAAACTATAGGGGAGATTTTTATGATTGTCATAAACTTTAGGGAAGGTTTTTATATTTTATTATAAGGGGAATTGTTGTCCCATTAAATATACTTAATTGGCAATTTTCCCAAGGGAGATGGATATTACTTACCTGCTTATTTATGGGGAAATACTTACTTGGTACCCGCGGTAAGCGATACCAAGAAAAATAAACTTTCTCTAATCAATCCTATTAACCAATTTCTCCCTCTCAAAATCCAAAAACCAAACACCCCTTAAGTCAATTTATAAAGACTCAAGTTATCCATATATAATTAGCATATTTACATCTAGTGTATGCATATTGATTATCAGGCCTTTTGTTAATTTGTAGGATTTTATTTTAAAGCTATGTACGATTCAGTGGGATTTGGAATTCAAATATTACTTTTGTTTTATTTACAAATTATAATATACAGTTCTTTATATTATTTTGTAGATATGTACTAGTTTTGTACAAGGATTTTTTTAAGTTTAGAATTTAATGCTATTGAAATCAAATAGTTGGATATCTAAATAATCAAAAAGGACAAATCTATCTCTAAAGCGGACACTTTCACTGATTTCAATTTCAATGTATGTCCTGAAAGTTAAATTCAAATGTCATATACTACACATTCACCCAAAAAAGTGTCATAAAATGCTTATTTGTAGCTGTTAATAAACCAAATTGTAATATATGTTTCAACTTTCACATATCCATCAATAATCAAATTGAATTCAGGCGTCTCATATTCTTATCACCTTAGACCTGCACATTCCTGTTTCATATGGAGTTAATTACATGAATCATATTTTACCAATTCATTCTATTTAAAACCATACCCACTATTAAACATTACATAAATCCTATTTCGTCAATCTATTCTATATAAAGCTATATTCATTATTAAATCGTTACCCCTAACTCTTCTAGCTAGCCCTTTCCATTGTTAAATTGAGACTCAACTCTCTTTCTAAGATTTCTTCTCCCCTTCCCCCTTGCCATGCTAAATGGACAGCAAGTGTAACATTTCTTGATTCCGAATTCATTGTTCCTCTTGGATTTTGATGATTAAGGCTCTACTGAATGATCAAAGGCTTTGGTGGATGGAGGGCCTACATAAACCCCTACCTTCGAGACTTCTTCTTGTTGGGTCCTCTTATTTGTATTATTTTTTGGCTTTCTATATTTTTGTTTTTCTTACTTTTTTTTTTTGTATTTGTTGCATTGTTTATTTTTCTGTATTTTTGGTACTTCCCTCTTTTTATTTGTTGCATCTTCTTTTTTGTATTTTAATTTTTTTTCAGTTATGTTTTTTATACTTTTTTATGGTTTTCTATACTTTCCTCTTTATTTATTGTCATATTCCTTACATTTCCTACAATTTCTTAGGTTTTCTTTATACCAATTTTTGTTATACTTTTTATTGTATTTGTGCTTTTCCACATTCTCCAAGCCTCCCTACATTTTCATAATAATGTATTAAGAACCAAGAATCACATGATAATTAATCTCTTCTAAAGTCAACAAACGAAAAAATGGATGGAGTTTAATACCAGAAAGACAAGAGAAGAGAGAGATGGGGAAATGTTACAAGTAACAACATTACATGTGATATTTACTCTGAAAGCAAGATTGCAATGCAAATTTGTGAAAAGGATTGGTTGTTACATCACTACATAAGGTAATTAAGGTGGTATTTGATGCGTTTTTTTTTTTCAAAAAAGAGTAATTGGAAAATTCAATAAGAATATTACTAAAATGAAAGGGAAATTTTCTTGAGCAAATTAGGAAGCAACTAATTTTTATCAAAATAGGTAACTACATTAATATTTGCTCAGAATAACGGCATTAACCAAAATAACAAAAGGGGGTAAATTACACCTTGCACTTTGGGTGCAATGAAAATTAGTCCTTGAACTTTGTTTTGCCATAATGATACACCCTAAATTCTTTATATTCAAGCACTTAGATTCCATGGTTAGTATTGCATCACTTAATTAATTTCAGAAAAAATATTCTTATATGACTATTATGTGCATGTTTAGATATTTTTAAAGCCCCATAGTACTTATATCATTTTATGAGATTATTTTACAAAATAATTGATCAAATACAACAAAAAAAACAGAAAATAAGGATAAAAATCTAGAAAATACAATAAATACAATATAAAAGAAGAAAAAGAGGAAAATGCAGAAAGAAACAAGAAAACATAAAAAATGTAACAAAGAAAAGGAAAAAAAATTACATAAAACACTATAAATGACTAGAAAACTAATAATACAACAAGAGAAATTATGCTTTAACGTTAAGCCTGTTAGGGCAAAGTATTGAAATTTAAGAGTTAAAGGTTGTTTTATGTCAGTATGTTACAAACGAAGGGACTAAGTGTTATTTATCCTTAAAAAAGAGTTCCTTTAACAATCAAAAGAGAGTCAGTAGTCATAAAACAATGTTGTCTGCACCTCACAAATGCCCCACTGTCATGGGGCTAATCGTTGGGGCTCCGTGTAGCACCTGAATGCATTAAATAAGCCTAAGTGGCAAGTAACAACACAATAAAAGACAACAAGATGGCATATGAATTAGTCAAAAAACACTTTGTATTGCATTAAATGATGGCAAATACAAGCACACAAGTTTGTGTCAAGACAACCTTATGCTTAACATTTACATGGTATTGGCACCACTCAACTACCTACATCCCCTCAAAGAGTAGCTTAAGCTTTTGGGGGAGTGATGGAAGGATACATCATAGTTGTGAAAAATCATACTAGTAATTACAATAATGTCATTGGCATTCCCCTCATACAAAAATCAAAATACATGTATTGCCCCACCCAAGGCATAGACAATTACACGTGGTCGACATGTCGTAGGCACGATGCATGGCACTTGATGGCATGGTGAAGTGTTCACTTGTGACAGTCTCCCCCATTCAACTTGGTCTTTGTCCTCGAAAACAAACTTTTGCTTACTACTTCGATTTGTTGTTGATGAAGGAAGATTCTTCAATTGCTTCATGAACTTCATTTATTCCAAGGCCCGGTCATATTCTTGAAGTTGAGACTGTCTATGAAGTTGAACAAGAGGTCATTGTTAGACATGCCAAAGATTTCAAGTGTTAAGGCTAAGAATTCTTAGTCGTAGTCGTGCAACTAGTCATTGTGCTTCAAGTTGTTCATATTTCTTCAAGCAGGGTACTCAACATTCTTGGGGTAGAACTATCGCTTGATCTCTCGCTTGAAGTCGACCTAAGTGTTGAGGGTATGTGTGCCCTGTTCAATGTCTTGACAACACCTACGCCATCATAACATTGCAATATCATTTAAATGCATGACGGTCATACATACCCGAGTTTGGTCATCATGGATGCCAATCACGGAGAAATATTGGTCAAGTTGCCACAAGAAGTTTCCAAGCTCTCAAACATCCCAAGCACCCGAATATGGTGTCAGTTGTCGCATATTGATGTGTGTGGTTGGAGTAGATGAGGCGCTAGCAGAACTGGCCATTGCCATTTTTACGAGTGTCAAGACATCCCTCATCTCATTCAATTGTGCTTGGAAAATGTCCACGATGCCTTGAAGGCTGATTTGGGAGGAGTTGGATCTTTTTGAGGGCTGCATTGTGAATGTTACAAGGTGTCGTGGATCCCTTTGAGGGCTCCATTGAAGTGGCTTTCTAGCTCCACAACAACATTTTCAATAGCCTCCATGTTGAGGTTGAGTTCATCAACCAGGTCTCGGGTCTCACCTATGGTTGCCTTGCAATGCAAGACACGCATGTCCATGTTTGTCAGTTGATCAATGGACTTGTCCCACTTGCTTGTATTGGTTGTGTGGCTCTTCTAGGCTTGATTTTTGGAGGGTTCGTCGATTGGTGCCTTGTTAGTGTCGTGGGCATGAGACAACCCGTGTAGTATGTCATTGGTGATGTCACGGTTGTTCTTCATTGTTTGTACTGAATGTGGGTCTATTGATAGGGTCCAATGGGTGGAGGAGTTCTTGCTTTAATACCAACTATTACAGGGCTAGTTGTTAGGGCTCCATGTGGCAGCCAAATGTGTCGAGTAAGCTTAAGTGACAAACAATAAGACAAAAAAAGATAATAAGATGACACACAAATTAGTTAAAAGACACTTTATATTGCATTAAATGATGACAACTATAAAAACAAAAGTTTATATTGAAAGGACCTTGTGCTAAACTTTTATAAGGTATTGGCACCATCAACTATCTACCTCCCTTCATAAAATAGTTTAAGTTTTAGGGGAATGAGAGAAGGATACATTATAATTCTGAAAAATGATATTAGTAATTAAAATAATGCATAATGCGATTGAATTTCCCCTCGTAGAAAAATCAAAACACATATATTATCCCACCCAAGACATTGAACGACACTTATGACACGATGAAGTGTTTATTTATCCCAATCATGCATTGGGAACATCTCTCAATGATAAGAAGGGATGTGCATGTGGGATGCGCTCTGTGGTCCGGTGGGTGGTTAAATACATAAATCAGTCATTGTGGTTTTATTTCTGGGGAGACAACATTTCATTGAACAAAAAATTCTTTCTTAATAAATAGTTAAGGGACAAAAAGGAGGTATTAGATGATTACTTAAATTTTTTCTTTTTTCTTTTATTTCGGCAGATGATTACGTAAAGCTCATACGAATAAAACTTCGGAGCTATTTATAGTTTTATACTTTAAAAGAGTATCAGGGAAGTGATGGTGGTGTGGCTTAATGTGGTAAATAATGGACAAAGTACAGTAACACACTTAAACGGTGGCGATGAGGATGATTGAGAAAAAAAGCGGAGAAGTACAGATACACACGATGGAGAATTCTGAATTCCAGCCCCCTCTACTACTAGTCCTCTCTCTATATCCTGTCCGTGAATTTGACATTAATTCACGGTCAAGATGCATTTCCCTTTTACTTTATGGCTATAAAATTCTGATCTGAGCTGATTGGTCATTCTCCCGAAAAAAGTGATAGATAAATTACAATTGACGGTTGTATACATGCAGGACTATCAAATACCAACTATTCGGGAAAATTACTAAAAGAAGAAGAAAGGGTCCAGCACGGGGAATGAATGAATTTTCTCCGGATCCCAGAAATCTAAATAGATGACTAACCCGGTTCTGCGTGCCAATTGCCAAATTTGCTAGTCCACTCCAAAATATTCATCAGCGAGATGCCTCCTCTGGTTTCATGCCAGATTGCCGAATGACACACCACTACAACGCAAACACAAACAAAGAAGAAGATGACACCCACACAACTGAAAAGAAAAACACCAACCGACAACAAAAACTAAAGTTGTTTAACTTCTCATGCACGTCCTTAATCTCTCATTTACTCAGTATATATATATATATATATATATATATATATATATATATATATATATATATATATTTTTTTTTTATGGTTTTTTCTTTTGATGGGGCGTTTATTCAGTATTCACTACCATCTTTTAACGAATTCTTACTGAAAATTGTGATCAGGATTCAGGAGAATTCCAAAAACTAAGCATGTGGATGATGGGCGGCAAAGAGCAAAGAGATGTGACCGGTTCTGAGTCCGGACCATAATGTGTCCACCCAAGCCATTTCCCCCACTTATTCGGAGATTACAACCCCCCAAGTCCATATCTATACAGTTGGCTTTGGCTACAAGAACAAATTTACGATAACAAGGCCTCGCTGTAAACAAATGTGAGATGCCTTCTTTTCGAGCTCGATAACGATATTCCATCTTTTTTCATGTATTTCCAATTTCAATTAATATGGTTCCCCTTCCCCCACAGAAGAAGGAATAGTTTTAAGGATTGCCCATTTTAGATCAAACGACAATGGCGAATCCACGAGTCTCCAGTCGTGGTTTCACACTTTCACGGTTTTACCAAAAAAGTGTCTCTAGTCGTGTTTTAATCTATCCAATATGCGTTCCAAGACCAAAACAGACGTCCCAGATGACCAGATCAGTGTTTGTGCACTTTTGAAGTTTGAATGCGATGATTTTATATGGATTTTGCTTGACGGATTCATTCATTAAAAAGTTCAATACTTCAAATATATAATAGTTGGTGTGATGGGCAAAATCATCCATGATTCCTGTGACGTTAATGTAATAACCCTTTTTGCCAGGCCTAAATCTTTGTCATTTTGATTAGTTTGGAGACCCAGTTCTGTCATTATCCCTTCACATCTTCTAGTTCTATCCGTTTGGGCCCCACGAAACCTGCACTTTTTCCTATCCCTTTTTGTAGATGAGGGTCCTCCATGGAATCCCAATTCGAACCTCTTCACTGCCCGAATCTATCTTTACGAACCCTCTTTTCGCTTGTTTCCTCTGTGCCTAGATATTTACTGTTTATGATCTCCTCGGTTTCTGTGGAACTCCGTGCGTTCTTCTTGTTTAGTTGTTTTATCTTCCAGTTGCAGGGAAAATACTAGCTTTGTTCAGGTTGGTTGATTTGGGGTTCTTGTGAAACTCTCGACTTTTCAACTAAAAGACTCGACTTTGCTGTCTTGGTCTGTGAGATTTTCGGTTTTGGCGATTTGGTTTTTTNGGTTCTAGGTTTGCTACATGGGTTTTCGTTGTCATCTTGATCTCAAATTTTGGTCTTTCGAGTGGATTTTGAGTTGAAGGAGTAGAGGTTGAAGGAGGATGAAAGGGGGGAAAGATGAGGAGAAGATCATGGGCCCCTTGTTTCCTAGGCTCCATGTTAACGATGCAGATAAAGGAGGTCCAAGGGCACCGCCAAGGAATAAGATGGCCCTCTATGAACAACTCAGTATCCCTTCTCAGAGGTTCAATTCTGGATTGGCGCCGACCTTACCTCTTCCGCCTAACAACGCCAGCAATTTGGTTCCTTCGACCTCGTCGAGCCAGGTCAGTTTGGGAATTATGTTCAAGTTTGTTATGAAGTGCTGAAGCCTTTTCTTTTCCTTTTTTTTTTCTTGTTTTTGTCTCTGGGGATAATTGAGGGATATAATGTTCGATTGCTTCACTGGTTTCGTGAGTAAAATGCCATTTTTTTATTATTGTGTTGTGATTTGATGTCCACATTAGATTTTGATCACAATTACCTCCTCAATATACATGATTCAGTTCATTTTCCTTCCTTTCCCTCCTTTTTTATTGAATGTATTATTTATACGTGTCGTTTTTTGAAGAAAAGTGTTCATCTAATTGATTTCGATTTGAATTACCTGACATTCTTGAACACTTGGTTTTGGAAAAATTAAAAAGTTCTTGGGTTTAGGTTCGACATTTCCTTCATTTGTTCCTCCCTCTTTAGCGTTGGTTTTCAAATAGAAGAGGGCTTTTCAGTTAGATACAGTAATGTATTTATCCTGTCCAGACGTTCTTGATATGTTGCTGCCCATAAAGCTTCACAGGTCTTTAGCTTGCAGTCGTTATTCTATTTAGCGGATTCTTATTTTGATCACTTAAAATAGAGAACCTTTCCATTCAGTTATGTTAGCTCATCTAGTGAGCTTCGCTTAATGACCTAGAAATCTTTCATTTGGCAAATTATCTTGGTGCTCAAAATGAATCTTTAATTTCCTTTCCCCACCCATACACGAAAACAATTTGGGTCCAATATTAACCCCCCCCAAAAAAAAACAATTTGGGCCCAAAAAAACCTTGCTGTATGTGCAAAGTAAGCCCTCATTTATTGGTATGCTTTATATTTAGAATAGCAAAACATTGAATGGCTAATATGAGTTACGAAAACTACTAATACAAAAGCGGGATATATAGCTTATACTTATTATGGGATTAAAATGTGGCCAATCCGGTGGGTCCCTTGTGTGGAAAACTTTTCCTATATTTTAGCATCATAACCTTTTTGTCTTTTGAAACTTTATAAATTACATCATAGTTATCCACTATAAAATGTGTAACAGAAGGGTGAAGTTTTTAAAATTTAAAGGGAAGGATGAGAAAACATTAAGAGTAGTATTATTTAATGTGCTATTTACCTTGAGGGAAATTTGTTATATGAACTTAGAGAGCTTCCCTAGATGACCCTGAATCTTTCATATTATTTAATGTGTATTTTACCATGTGATTTTTGGATATAGGGCGGGGCTCATGAAAGAAGTGTGTTTTCTCAAATTTACGTTTCTCCTCCCACACCTCATTCGCGTTCTTCTGATGGAGCAAACTTGAATGGGACAGTGGCAGAATGTGATCGAAAATCCACAAAGAATGCAAATTATCGAATTTCAAATGCTACTAGAAATTTGTTATCAACTAATGACTGCAATTCATGTCACCGACCTGACTTCTCCAACTTGAAGAACTATTGTGGAGACAAGCTTGAAGATGAGGATGATCTTAGGGTTCCTACCTACATTCACTCAGGAGTTGCTTCTTGCTCTAATAAGGATCTTCCTAACCCAAATGGGGAAAGATGTACTCCATTGAGTCCAACTCATCCAAGCCCTTCTAAACTTGCACCAGGGAACAGACCACTGAAAGCTTTAGCAGCTACTGGAAGCTCATCGATGCAACCACAGAGCACGTGTGACAAACAACAGAAAACTAGCACAAGAGATATGAAGTCAAGAGTACATGTACGAAACCAAAATGAAGAGAACCTGAAAGAGTGTGTGACAAGTAGAGACAGTGCAGAAAAGGATGCAATCCATTCATCAACAGGAGAAAAAAATGCCAAGTTCTTAAACCGTGCCATTGCATCTGAAAATCAAATACTCGAAAGTAGTCAGGCAGATGATTTCAGGAGATCAAACAATAATGTTTCAAGGGCATATGAAGAACAAAGATCTATTTTGTTGCCTGAAAACTGTGTCAGTGGTGATGCTGTTTTAGTTGAGCTTGTCGGGGTGGAAAAGGGAAACATTTCAAGGGAGAAAGCTGTACCATTCTCCAGAGCATCACCTGGAAATAGCGATAGAAGCCCTAAGAGGGCTGAAAATGATAGGGACTACCATGAAGATATGGCACACGAATCATTGCAGGTGGGAGATGCAGACAAAAACGATGATGCCTCTGAAACCTCCATGGTAGATTCTATATCAGGCTTGGACATATCTCCTGATGATGTTGTAGGAGTAATAGGGCCGAAACATTTCTGGAAAGCAAGGAGGGCAATTGTCAAGTAAGTACTTGTTGCCTGTCTTTTTTTTTGGATAGATGTTAGCCATCAGTTGTTAGAACTTTCCATATATATTAGCAGTATCAAAATTATGGTTTCCTGTCTCTTTGTATGTTCTTGTGTGTGATCACAAGCCAAGTTCACATTGCATCTTGACTATTTATTATCATCTTCTAATCATTCAGAGTAATGGGCATCGAATTGTATGTTAATCTTGACATTTAATTATCTGATTTCCAATCTTTACTATTTAACTGGCTGAAACAGAAAAAAGATTATCAAGAATGGTATTTGGCATTCGGTTGCTTGTGCAAAGAGTGCCATATCAGCATGACTCGAGTCTTTTTCTACAGATGGCATTATTAAAGGTTGGCAGGTTGTTGCTTGTACTTCTTCAGCTAGGATCACAAATCACGCTCCTTATGTATCCATTTGGCTCCTAATTAGATCAAGTTAATTGCTGATGGATGTAGTTTAGGCAATCCAAGCCCTTTAAGCAAAGATGGTGTTTTCAGGAAAAGCCATGGAAATATTTAGGCTATCTTTTCTGTACTACTAGCAGTTTTGCATGGCTTGAGATTGGATAAAGCTCTCAAGAGAAAGAAGACAATTGTCTAGGGAATTGCATGGACACAAAGATCAACCAATAGTCTAGGTGATACATTAGCTAGGCAGGGAGTGAACAGAATTATAATAGGAGAGTAGGAGTTGAATGTAGTAAGCAAGGAGGTATCTAAGGTTAGGTAGTCTAGCCTAATATTAAAACAGGGAGTGTTTGGCATTTTCTTTTGTAATCCATTCTCTTGATATGATTAATAAAATTTTTGGTTACCAATCAAAAGAAAAGGGAAAAGAGAGTATAAATGGTACAAGAAAACAGTTGCTAAGCTACTAGCTGCCAATGTTAAGGTCTGAAATACACAATTTCCTTAAAATGGTAGAACTTTAGTGAGTGTATTAGCATAAGTGGGCTAGTTTGGGAGAAAATGTGCTAACCTAGTGAAACATCCAACTCTTCATTTTGGTGGTTAAGAATCCTTCTTTTCTCTCTTAATCTTTGGTACTTGGCTTTGTTTGAGGTTATTGGCAATTTGGCGTGCTATTGGTGGTTATATTACTTCCAATTCTAGGCATCAGAGAGGTGCCATTGATGCAACTCATATTTTGTGAGATCCAGGCATATCAATTGGATACCCAAGTTGCTGGGTATAGGCTTTAACGGAGAAGGCTTCTTGTTGCCATCAGAGGAAGTTCCTTTTGTTGGTGAATAGTTGATGATCAATGCTTCACTTTCTTTGTGTGAATGCAGAGAAGAGGTGCAGAATTGAAATGGCTTCAATTGCTTTGACAGGTGGGTCCCGTGTGATTGCATGGCTCTGAATTCAGAGTCCATATTTAGAGGGGGTACGGTGCTAGAGATCTCAAGAATATGGAGATCTTTGGATGCCCTTTCACGACATGTGATAAAAGGGTACTATGCACATGGACTTGATCCTCAGGTTGATTGCCAAGAGACTTTAATTGGGAGAGTTGGTGTTTTGTTGTGATAGATAGATTTTGCTTATGTAGTTGGTATGTATCTGCAGTTGGTGGTGCCCCTTTAGGGATTCAAGATGATTATAAAAATTCATAAAAAGAAAATAGAAGAAGATAAAATCATATATAAATACCCTGATCTACCTACCTTTGATACAAAGCTAAGAAAACCCCTTCTCTCCCATCCCTTTACCATTCAACTTGCTAAAATCACAAAATAACCACTTACCTTCCTTAATATTTCTTAAAATTCCAATTTACACTCCTCACCTTCTTATAGAAGTTTTTCCTGGACTACATATTGGATTTGGGACTAGTTACTTCTCTCCTCTTCTAGCTTCATAAATATTTTGATGGTATTCTTTTCACCTCCTAAGGACACCCCCAATTTCTCATCACCTCTATTTCTTTTTGAATAACCCTGTTCAGATCTAATTTCCTATCTACCTCAAACACTCCAATTAGTTTAATATCATCTCCAATCTCCATTGTCTCCTTCACCACTCTATCCTCTTCCTCTATGCAATCTATAATTGAAACATCCATAAACTCATATCAAGCTGCATTCTATACTTTGATATTTTTGGAAACATTTCCCACAATCAGTTCCTGAGAACATTAGAGTACAGTGGAAAGAAGATCAACCAATGGATTAGCTGATGCTTTAGCTAAACAAGGCGTTAACAAGAAACTTTTGTTTTGGGCTCACTTGTAATCTTTCTCAGTTTCCTGGGAGGGTGTGCTCCACACCTCTCAGTGTTTATTTATACTTGTTCTGTCCTTTAATAATTTTAATAAGTTTTCTATTACTTGTGAAGAAAAAAGGAAGAATCCATGGCATTATTTTGACCACTACCACTAGCACTCCCTTTTACTTCTCCCGCCTCTTTCTTACCAGAATAAGCAACATCCTTCTTTCTACTTAGACAACAATTATCACCACCCCCTTCTCCCTAATAAGTCCCTATTTTATTTTTGACATAAACCTCTTTTTGACTGCTTGTCAAGGACCCATTAGTGCACAAAACATTCTAATTTGTGTGTACATGTGCAATTGGAATGTCAGATGTGGTGATTCTTGTTGCTAACACCGCTGACCGCTCCTCTTATATTCCATTGATCTACAAGGATCGGGCCTACAAAGGCCCCTATTCAAGCATGATTCCAAATGAATTTACCCCTATATCTTTTTATCCTTTTTCTTATATGGGGTGTGGGAGGGTGTTTTAGGACACAAGGAGGCACCTAGAGATGCTTCTCTCCCTTGACCCTCCGATACATCCCTGCACTAAAAAAAAAAGTAAAAGGCAGCTAAAGATACAGGCCGATACACCCCATCTGGCATATTGGCCTGTATTGATATTTTGATCCTTGCTTCAAGGTTGGCTTGCCTGAGGACAATGCTGCTGGCTTGGTCAGTTCTTTTCCTAGCCGGCTTGACTAGACAATCCATCTATCTGTGGTTGCTGTAAATAGAGTGTTCAACCAGATGTAGGATGGGTATATGAAGATTAGACCAATATTTTAAAAGCCAATCCCGAGGTTGACCTCATTTTTTGTTTTGGTGAATGGTTCACCAGTTTGACCATTCAAATTGAATGGGTCAAACCATGAAAGTGAGGTTTATCTTTAGATAGGAATACCAGTTTACATTTGGTCCTCAGCCCTTAGATATCATAGGAATAAAGAAGAATGTTACCATTGTCGTAGATGTCACAATAAATGTTTCTCTCTTTCATGCTGTAAGGGTGACCAGGGTTCAAATCTTGGAAATAGCCTCCCTGTATGTGCAGACCCTAAATGGTTTGAACAGTTTGCCGGTTAATTGTCCAGGTCAATGGATTTTGACTAAAACCCAAGGTTCAAAATACCAATAGGCGTATTGGCTGTATCTTGGCTCACTTTTTTTTTTTCAAACTGGTTCAGAGAGGCCCGTCTACCCCCTGAACCAGGTCGGACCCTGAAACACCCCCTGTAGGGGTGTATCTGGAGGCCATTGATACGATACGTACTGGACGATACAGCCCGACATGTATCAAAATTTTAAACCTTTCTAAAATAAACATTCTTTTACTATTTATGGTTTGGGGTAAAGTGGACCTGGAATCCTAGCCAAGTGATGGGTTGACTAGTCTAACCAGCCAGGTCTAGGTAGGAATGGCAATGGGGTGTGGCACCCCCTCTCCATCCCCGCTCCATAGCCAAAATCCCCTACCTAGTTCCCATCCCATCCTTGGTGGCAAGGCAGGTTTGGGGCAAGGCATTCTTCCCCATTAGGGGCAAGGAATCCCTGAATTTCTCTTGCCCCCAATGAAACTACCTAAAAATACATCAAATTTGAGGGGTATTTTAGAAATAGGGTTATGGAAATTTGGGGGTATTTTAGAAATGTGATTATGGGATCCTTGGTTTTTTTGAATTTGGGGGAATTAAAGGGTATTTTAAAAATTAATATAAAACCTAGGAATATTTTAATAATTTGCCACTGGGTTCGGGGAATTATATGCAAACCCCATCCCCACCCAGTCACCATTTAAGATCGAGGAAAACCTGCCCCGTTCAGGGCAGGGCGGGGTGTTGCCCCAGTTTTATGGGGAAAATTGCCGTCCTAGGATGTATGTAATTTTATGGGGAAAAGGTGGTTCCCAAAGAATCAAAGGCTTATTATGTGGCTTGTGAGAGTTGATTGGGAGCATGTGATTTTGATGTTCTTGGGGGTGAGAGCTCTTTGCCTTTTTGTTTTTTGATAAACAGAGCCCTTTGCCAATTACCTCTTTCATGATGGTGCCTAGCTATGTTAAATGGTACAGCAAGGACATGGTTCTGATGGGGTATCTGTCACAGAATTTAGATTAAAAACTGTAGTAGTATGATGTAGTATGCTATGTATTTATCAAAACCAGTGAAGAAAGAGGCTATGGTGTAGGTGAGGTGATTCTGTGCGAGCAAGTGAATCAAATAAGGTGTAGTTGTATGGATTATTAACCTTTAATTTTCTTTTCTGTTTTTCTTTGGGTTTAATGCATCATGGTCAATTCTAGATTGTTTACTTTGGAGCCTAAGTTTCATGTGCTGGGACCCTGAGTTATTGGTGCAGTGCTTTTTTTTGTGCTCAACATTATTTACCTGTCTTAGGCGATTTCTCTATCTAAGATGAATCCCTTTTTGAACTATCAAAATGTTGGAACTTTGCCACCTCGCAACCTTCCAGTTAGACTCTGACAAAATGCTCTTAAGTTTTTAATCCTTTTGAAATCTATGAAGCTGATTCTTATTCATCCTTAAGGTTAGGGTATCTATTGTTTGTGGTTGGTGGATCACTTTTTCATACTCCAGCAGATGTCTGAAACAAGATATCCGCATTTTAAATTATCATATGGAGCTTGGATTTGGTCCACAGTTCACACATATCTTGAGTTGCCAAGTACAAACTATGGTGGGTGAAAAGCTAAAAGATATAAGAGCGATGCTCAGACACTTGAAGATGGGTACTCTGGGCATGAAACTTGTTCTTTTCAATTTCTTTGTTTGCATAGACCAAATGTAACAACTTAGTTTCCTGTAACCATGAACTCATAAGTGACGTTATACCTGGAATTACTGTGTTTTTTCCTTTATGTTTGTGGTGAGGGGTATCCAGGCAGTTTTAAGAACCTTAATATCACCTTGTCTCTTGAGTGCTTAATGTGCTGGGGTCTATTTTCAAAGTCATTTTACCATAGTAGTTATTCATCACTTTGACTGTTAATTGTATGATTCACCTTGGAATGAGACTGTTTTCTGCCTGGATTTCATAGATACAAGTTTTTCATCAAGCTCTAGGAATGGTATTGCACTCAGTTTATGGAAGTTTCCACCAAAGATGTAGTCTATTGTGTAATTGACTAAAGAAATGCTTATTTATGTTGATGTATCTAGAAGACTAGGTGGAGAGTGCTATTTGATGTTACTGCAACTAGTACTGGCTTATGTATCATCCTAATTTTTTGAATAGTAGGATACCTGTATATTCTCCTTATATTATGCAATTAAATAATTGTTAATGATTAAAAAAAATCCTTTGCACTAGAAAAGGCAATGTGCTTGTTAATTTCTCCACTTTACACTTAGAGGTTATTCTTATTGTATACGGGTCATATGAGTTTCACTTCTCATCCTATCTAACTTGATGGGTACAAGTGCATGGAATTCATTATATCAACTTTGATCTAGATTATTAATCCTTTCTTGTTTATCCTTGCAGCCAACAAAAGGTGTTTGCGGTGCAAGTATTTGAATTGCATAGATTGATAAAGGTAAGTTAGTAGAGACCTGGTTAAAAAGGTATCACTTTTATGAACTGAGATTTGAAGTCAATTATATTTTCTCTGTTTTCAATTAAGTACAGTAAAACCCTTGTATTCAAACAGGTTCAAAGATTGATTGCTGGATCACCACATCTATTGTTTGACAATAATCCTTATCTAGGCAAGCCTTCTTTAAAAGTATCCCCTGCAAAGAATCTGACTTCTGAGTATGCTTTAAAATCACCACCAGGTGGTGTTAAGCACAAAACTGATGCTCAGAAGCCAAAGCAGGATGCTGAATGTGCTGCTGAGAATACAGTTGGGGAGCCCACTCTTCCATCTCTAAGCACTGGTGTCAACAAGGGACTTGTTAGTCAAAATTCTAGCCATGGACCTCATTCTGGAAATCCATCATCAGGTCCTTGGTGTTTTCATCCACCGCCAGGAAATCAATGGTTGGTTCCAATAATGTCACCTTCTGAAGGACTAATTTACAAACCGTATGTGGGACCTTGTCCACCAACTGCAGGCTTCATGGCACCAGTTTATGGAGGCCGTGGGCCTCTGAGTCTACCCCCAATGGCAGGAGACTTTATGAATACAGCCTATGGTGTACCAGCCTCTCATCAACAAGGGATTGGTGTTATTCCTGGTGCACCTCCAGTTGGTCAAACATACTTTCCCCCATATGGTGTGCCAGTCCTGAGCCCTGGTATCTCTGCCTCAGCTGTGGAGCAGAGAAACCCAATGGCTGGTTCACATCCAAATGGACATTCTGAAAGGTTATCAACAGGGGATGCGAACTTCAAGATGCACTATCAGAGCTCGTATAACAATTCAAACCAGAAGAGTGAAACTATCTCATGCCATATTTGGAAATTTCAGACATCGAAAGATAGTGAACTCCAAGGGAGTACTGCAAGCAGTCCCTGTGAGAGGAGTCAGGGTTCTGGGTCAGGTAATGTTGCTGAAGGAAGAGATGCACTTCCTCTTTTTCCTATGGCTCCAGCAGTGCAGGTCCAGGACCAAGTACCCAAGAGCCACAGTAGTGGCCAACAGACACGAGTGATCAAGGTTGTGCCTCACAATCGTAGATCTGCAACTGAGTCAGCAGTACGCATTTTCCAGTCCATACAAAAAGAAAGGCAGCAATATGATTCAGTTTGACTTGTAGTCTGATGATCTTCACCATAAACTCCACTGCTGATTGGTGGGTGGCAAATGATCTGGGAATCATCAGAACTTGCATTTTGTGCTTTGTCCTACATTTTTTACTTGGGTGTTCCGTAGTTTACTATATGCTATGTACATGTAAATATATTTATCGAAGATGACAGGAAAAAGAAAATTGATACTGTATGTTTTTATTCCTTTTCAATTCATAAGTTTTTGGTACAATAACTACAAGATGAAGCCAAGTTTTGCACCAAGTGGAACAATTATTTATGAGAGGCCAGCAGTTCTTCCTGGGCTTGCTCTTAATCGGAGATAAAGTTCTGGTTGCGTTTCTCTTTTTCTTTTGGTTTTGTATGGCCTTTTACCCTTTGTGTTCCTATTTGATTTATATATATTTTGTTGCTCAGCGTTACTACAGCAACAAAAACAGGGTTAGAGGGAAATTTGTTTTGGTGCTGCCACAGAAACATGGCTTATAGGGAAATTATTAGCCCGGATGCAATAGCAGAGACGGGTTTACAGGTGAAGTTCTTTACAGTTAATTAGTATACAAGTTCCCATTTATTGGAGTGGTGGGGCATATTTCTTGATCTTTCATACTGTAGCCATCTTGTCAATGCCATTAGAGGAGAATTTTTTTACGTACTTGATGACTATACTGGTTTTGTGTCTTCGGTACTTGATCAACCTGAGTAGCACTGTCAGCTAAACTGCTAAACCAGTGTGGATGGAGCTGAGCCCGTATCCTAGAAGCTTATCTTTTGTTTGGATCCACCACTTCCCACTTTCTTCTGCAACACCAACGACAGGATAATGAGGCAAGATTGCATTGATCTGAAGCTGGGTGTTAATTGATTCCACAGACCGCCTAGGGGCAGTTGTTTGGTTCACCCTTCTTCTTTTGGTAATGGTGAATTGGTGACTGTTAAAATGGAGCTGGTAGAGTAGTCATAGAGTAGTAGGTTCTTAGATTATTTTGTGATTTGCAATCCTACCTCATCCCACATGAAAGATGGTTAGTAACTAAACCTGGAATATGTTTGGTTTTATCACTTTCTTAAAGATCAAATTTTTTGCTTGTACATGAATGGAAACTTTGTATTATCCTAAGGTTTCATTCGGTTTGTATTACCTGGANCCCCACACACACAATTTTTAATGGAAAATGAACGGGGCCTAAAAAATAATTGTGATGGTTACCTCGCATTGCTCTCCACCCTAGCTGGTAAAACCTGCACAATAAATCAAAAGAATAATAAGAACTTTACATAGTTTACTTATTTTTCATTGGCTTGCATCCCACAGGGTGTACTTATAAATCAAGTTTAAGGTTTTCACATTTATCTATATACATAAAGCAAGGTTGTCCCTGTCATCATGTCTCTCCTTGCTCCAAATCCTTTCCTAATTTTCTGTTTTTTTTTTTTTAATTCTACATAATTGCTCATTAAACCAATAAGGAAATGGCATAGATTAAATTATACCTAACCACTAATAGTCAATGAAAGAGAGATTTGCTTTTCTAATGTCTAGCCAAGTGGCACTACTATCCTCCACTTTCTCCTAAATTATCTCTAATTCTTATTTATCTCTTCCCCCACTTTTTCAAGTAGCACCACTATCCCCCACTTTTTTCTAAATTATTTCTAATTCATATTTATTCTCTCCCCCACTTTTTATCTATATCTATCTAAAGAAAGTTTGAATTAACAAATTTAAGAATTATTTAAACGTTATAAAGAAATTATATAATAACTTCAAAATATTTATTAAAAACACAACAAAGATTATAATATATTTAATAATATTCATATTATTAATAATTTCATATTTTTACAAAATTCATCAAAAAATTATGCACTAACGATATAAATTATAACTTTATGGATTATTCAATTTAAATGTTATACAAATGGTAAAAATTTAACATTAAAAAATAAAATATCATTTGAATATTTCAATAACTAAATATCTTAAATAACAAAATGTTAGGAATAGCTAAATAAATATATAACAAAATATTTATAATTATTTAATAACTTTAAAATAAAGAAAAGTCAAATAGCAAAGAATTTTAAATATTTTACTTATTATTCAAATATTTAAATTACTAAATATTTTAAATAACGAAATATTTGACATAACTAAAATTTAAATAGTTAAAATAACAAAATCAGGTAATAATAGTATAAAATTATAAATTATAATTTCATGAATTATTAAATTCAATATATAAATAATATTTTAAAATTTTAAATAATGATATTATTTAAATAACTAAATAATATAGTAAACTAATTTCACTTATATTTAAATAACTTTCAAAAACTTTATTAATAATAATTTTAAAATATTAATCTATATTTATTATACATTTATATATACTGAAATTAATATTTATTGTATTTTCAGTGATTATTTATTATTTTTTGTGATAAATATATTTTCAATAATTAAGTATAAATATATTTTTGCTTTGTTATTTAACAGAAAATTTTCAATAATTATGGGAGATTAAACTATTGCTATTTAACTTTTTAAATTCAATTTATTGTATTTTTTATAAATTTAATTTTAGTAATTATGTATTTTTGTTATAATTTGTTGATTAATATTTATTAGAGATTAAACTATTATGAGGTTACACTATTTATTTACTAATTTAATATATTTTTAGTATTTATTGTATTTTCATTATAAATTTGTTTTCAATAATTGTGTATTTTTGCTATTAATTTTCAATAATTATTGGAGATTAAACTATTGTTATTTATTAGAGATTAGACTATTAATTTCGCTGAAATTAGGAATGTTCACGGGTTGGTTCGGTTCAATTGTAGGTTGTTTGGCCAACCAAATCAACTTGATCAAGTTGGGGAGTTGGTTACCCGAAATTGACTGACTATTAGTAAAAACCGGCCAACTCGGGTTGTATTGGTTTGGATCGATTTTTAGTTTGGTTGATTGGTTTAAAAGATTTAAACTTAAAAATTAAATTTAAATTTACAAATTATAGTGGTATTATTATAAAATAAATTTATGATATGGAATATTTTAGAATAAGGAATATGGGAATTTTCCCACTTTCTTGTATTAAAAAAAAAGTATTTAATCAGTTAGTTTGGTTTTGGCCAGTTTACAAATGGCCAAACTGAAACTGATCCAACTTGGTCGGGTTGAGAAATTGTTGAACTAAAGCCAATAAAAAATACTAGAAACTAACCAACTCAAGTCGAGTTGATCTATTTCATCGGTTTGATGAGCAACCCTACTGAAATTAATTATTCTTTTTTTTTGTATTGTAAAAATATTATTAAAAATAATATATAAAATATAAATAATTATTAATTATTTAAAAAATTAAAATATAAAACAATTATATATTCTTATATGTTTCTATTATTTAGCTTTCACTTAACAGTCCCTCTTAGTATGTCATATAGCTGATATTGTGACCATTAGCTGAGAAATGACCACCAAGATCCAATGATGGCCAACTACCCAGGTATGGTAATGTGTACAAGGGAATCAAGCCTAATTTTGAGTTCATTTGTGAAGGAAATGCTTCATAGTCGATGTGTATTTTTATCAACCAATAAAACATTAAAGAATTACAAGTAATAATGGACGTTATGTAGTTGTGTGTGCAACTGTATCATTCTCTAACTTACAGTCAATGATATCAACGAACCGTGTTTGATTGTACCCATATAAATATTTATTGAGCTGAGAAGGCCAAAATGATGCTTGTGAGCCAATTGGAACAGGAAAAATCCCTTAACATCGACAGAAACTGGTTGAACTATTTAGGTACCTTCGCAGATTGAACCTCTTAGGAAACCTTGCGTATAAATGTAGTTGAATCATGAATGTGGGTCAGAGCTATGGAGATTCTCCTTTTCCTTCATGGGGCAGAATTATGGAGTTAGAAAAGTGGGGGTTTCAGCTGTTAGAGGATGCTTATTTACAAACAGGACAGGCCCATTCACACCTCCAGCCATGAAATACAGCCTAAGAACCTCTACACTGATGTGGTGTGGGTTTACAAGAAAAGAAGCAGTGAGCCCAACCTTGCTAGAGACTAGAGAGTTGAGTTGAGAGATCATCAATAAAAGTAATGGGCCAATAACCCCAAATACATAGTCATGGACATTTAAAGCTTCGACCAGGCCCACCAAAGTAGAGTGTGGGTTCAGTATCTTCAATCCAGCTAAATGCATTATAACAATTATATTCATCTGCCAAAGGATAGACCCATGAAGGGTACTTCCAGGTGAGAGAGTAGTCAAGGATCCGAATGTGCCCAATGTAACACGCAGACCCATACATAAATGCAGGGAATTCTCCACTCCCCATGGCTGTGCTTGTGTGAGGAATTTTCCTTACGTTGGTGCTGTAGACTTGGCCTCCCCATTCAACAGATGATGCAATATGACTTAATCCACTGAATATGTCTGGTGGCCAGTATCCTATTTTGATATCATTTCCCATTTGCAACCACCAGTTCCTAGTGTATGGATCCTACATCACAAGAATGTTGCAGAGTAAGATCAGATCATGTGAGCTAGAAAAAATCTAGAAAAAGAAGAAATCATCAGAAAGATCAAATCTTGCAAATCTCGACCACCCAATAAATTAGCCTGTGAGAGTTGTTTGGGCCCCCACCAACTGGGTGGTCCAGATTTGAAGAAAAAGAAAAAGATGCACCCCTTATATCAAATAACAAACAACATCTTACCTTGAAGATGGTGAGTGCAATATGATATTGGGGACCAGCAGTAACTGAAATAGGTTCAATGGCGGAACCAAGGGCTATTTCATTGCTGGTTTGAACAAAACCAGGGCAAAGGAGGTCGAAGCAACCTGTCTTCTTTGAAGCATCCGCTTACAACACAAGGAGAACAAAGGAAAATCATCTTCTACTTACAAATCCCAATAACTAGCTAGCTAAGCAATCAATCTACTTGCACTTCAAGGATCCCTCCTTTTTTAGGTTTTGAGAGAGAGACCAAGAAACCCATATTCTCTTTTCAGATTTATATAGGGTCTACAGAAGATTTGTTTTTTTTTTTAAATATCACCTAATGCTTAGGTAAGTGATACCAATTTTTCCAATATGGGAGAAGTGGCCAACACTTAAATAGGACAAATTATCACTTTATAGTTAAAATGGTCATTGTCTTCTTTATCTAAAAAATTAGAAAAATATGAATAAATACACTTATCAGAATAAATGTTTCCTGGATATGTATATTTATCTGAATAAATAACTTACCAAAAAGCCAACAAGGACCAAAGGGTAAAATACTAATACATAGAAAACTAGTCAAGTTGACACAACTGGGTCTAGACCATTCCAGGAACACCAACCTATTTATATAACATGCACCAGGAAGAACTAGAAACTTACAGTCCAATAAGAAAAGAACCGAGTCCGCCTGTCTCCATAGACACCTGGGTTTACCTAAATGAAGAAAAAATAAACATTATAATAAGATGCTGAAGACGATTAACATTTTAATGGAAAAGTAATAGAGGAGGGCCCTGCTTCGCGGGGGCTGGAATTGCAATATTGCTATTTGCTATATGAAAAAAGATAATGGTTTTTTAATAAGAAATTTGCAGTTATACGTACCTAAGTATTGAAGCTCATATAAAGACTTAAAAGAGATCATCATGTGTTTGTTTTTTAAATATTGTTTCAACAAAGCGTCTCATATAAAACAATTAATATGATCATACATGTCCTTTGTTTCACATCGAGAACTCCCAGTTGACCTACACAGTAGGACCGTTCGGCCCGAGAACCGTCCAGGCAACCAGTTCTGTTCTACCCCAAACCTAATCCTTAGCAAAAAATCGTTGAATCAATCAACGACCCATTGACCCGGGCGGTCGACCCGTTCAATGGTTTTTGGCAATTTTTTTATTTTTAAAATTTTTATTTTTAGAATGGGCCATGTGTTCGAACTGGTGGCCAGAACAGTTCCGTTACCGGGTCATTTTTTCTAAATGTTAACAATTAGACGAAATAACTTTGTAGTCATAACCATGAGAAGGGTGGACATTGCAAGGGATTTCAAAACCTTAAAAGATAAATCCAAAGTGACCTTAAACATAGAAAAAATTGGCAATAAATCCATCAAATTGAAAAACCCAAAGAAAAAAAAATCAAAAAATCGAATCCAAAGTTCTGCTTTGAAACGGAGCTAAACATACATGCAATCAAAGAAAGAGACAAAGCAGATCGTCTTGTAAGAAAATAAAAAAATATTGCACAAGAGAAAAAACAAAAGGGAAGAAATAAAATGGTGTCAAACCCTAGACCGTTTTGGAGGATCTTGAAGAACACCAAACAAAAAAAAAAAAACAAAAGCAGAAAATGAAAAAAAAAAAACATATCGCACACACTAAAAAAAAGCCAACAGTAGAAGAAACCTTTGAATAGTGAAAATCCAAAAGCACAAAAAACCATGGTTTTCGAACCGCCATTGACCCGGATGGACGGACATTTCGGCCCGGGAACCATCTAGGCAACCGGTTTTGTTTTACCCCAATCCCAGTCCCTGGCCAAAAACCGTTGAATCAATCAGCATCCCATTGATCCAACCGGTCGAACTATCGACCCGTTGACCCGTTCAATAGTTTTTGACCATTTTTTTTATTTTTTTAATTGGGAACCGTCTAGGCAGCCAGTTCCATTTTTTCCCAATCTCAGTCCTTGGCCAAAAACCATTGAATCGGTCAATGACCCATTGACCCGGGCAGTTGAACCTTTGACCCGTTGACCCATTCAATAGTTTTTGGCCATTTTTTATTTTTTTAATTTTTGTTGTTAGAATGGGCCATCCATTTGAACTGGACGGTTAAACCGTCGACCTAAAAACCAGTGGCTAGAACGGTTCCATTTTCGGGTCATATCACACACTTGAATGACATAACACATATGATACTACTTAATGGACCTCACACACTCAATATTTTGCTTGTAATTTTTGTTGTCAGAACGGGCCATCCATCGAACCGGATGGTCGAACCGTTGTTTTTTTATTTTTTTTAATTGAGAACTGTCCAAGCAACTGGTTCCGTTTTACCCTAATCCTAGTCCTTAGCCAAAAACTGTTGAATCAGTCAATGACCCATTGGCCCGAGCGGTCGAACCGTTGACTCGTTCAATGGTTTTTGCCCATTTTTTATTTTTTTTTTTAATTTTTGTTGTCAAAACGGGCCATCCGTCCATTCAAACCAAATGACTGAACCGTCAATCCAAAAATTGATGGCTAGAACGGTTCCATTTTTAGGTCGTATGAGTCACACAATCGAATAACATTACATGTATGATACTGCTTAATAGACCTCACACACTCAATTTTTTCCCTGTATTTTTTATTGTCAGTTCGTTTGAACCAGACAGTCGAACCATCGACCCAAAAACTGGTGACTAGAACAGTTTCATAACTTTTTACTTGTAATTTTTATTGTCAGAACCGACTATTCATTTAAACCGAACAGTCAAACCATCAACCCGAAACCAGTGGCATATATATATATATATATATATCTGCCATTTGGCGAAAGGGGAGAACACCCCTATCCCTTTAATAGATATATATAAGATAAGATAAGATGCTCAAATATTGAGTTACAAATTTTGAGAATAATATAAGATTTATGTTGTTATTTAGAAATTAAAATGATACTAACCGTCCATCCTGATTCAATGCTCTCAAAATCATAATAGGGACCATCCTTAATACATATTTGAGCTGTGGTGTATTCATCATCTGATTCCACATAAGGATTCCAAACGTTTATATCTCCTTTTGCTCCTATGTAATTGTACCCTTCAGTAAGAAGTATCGCCACCTGATCATTCCAAGCATGTCCACATTTATAACATGGAGTCAAGAATTAATCCATCAATCTTTCTATCAATCTAAGATGAAAAGCAACAAATAATAATATCACTTTCACACCTCAAAATGGGTTGGTCAGGACTGGGCCGGGCCAAGAAATATATGCCCATAAAATGTTATGAACCCATCCAGTCTACTGATATTTCTAGGCTAATCTAAAGGCCTTATTCCATGGGGCACAAGCAGTATTTTTAACCCGCCGTTGATCCGATTTGGTTGGTTGAATCATTTGAATCATCACTCAATTAAGATTTTGGGTCGAGTTTGAGTAAAATCTAGAGAAAAGTTAAAACCTGTTGATTTGGTAAAAAATCATCTGATCTAGCTGATTGGACAGTTGATCCAGTTGACTCGGTGGTTAGATCACAGGTTGTATATTAATAGTGTATTCAAATTTCGGGAGGCCATAACTTTGTATGCCTGATTAAAGTAATTTTTTATTTTTATTTTGGGTAACTTTTTAAAATTTATGCATACCAAGGGCCTCAAATCCCTTCTTTTGCCCCACTATTTTTGTGAAAAAAAAACCCTTTTTAGCTTCAAATCATAATTTTTAATATTTGTATAAATAAAAAAAAATAAAAACTGATTTAAAAAATATAAATTAAATAAAAAATAATACATATATCATATCTAAAACATATTTATATATTATTTATTGATAAAATATATATTTATATATATACACTTAAAATATATAAATGCTGATGTAGCACGGTCTGATCCAGACGATCAAACCGGTGGTGACCTACAACCCAGAGGCAAAAACGGTTTGGCCTCTTGGGTCGGTTTTTAAAACAGTGGCCACAAGCACATCCTGTCCTACCATCAGATTTGTCTAGATCAGGCCCAACCCATATCCTAATGGAGAAGGAGAAATTAAAGGGGATACCGACTGATTGGCTTTTTGGTTGAAGTGATTAGTTTGACTAGCGCCACGCATTGTTCTCGTACTGCTAGAGGCACGAGAAGAGGCTGGTGATCTCTTTCTTCCATAATCTTCAAGAGAATTGGCCTTCAGTATATTAATCTTTCGGATCCTACGAATAGGAATTGTTCCTTGTGGACAACTTCCACTTCTTCGCCAAACCTGTGATACTAGCTTAGTAGAAGACTCTTGCTTCGTGGTTCTCATCGTCGGTGGATCATATGTGGGTTTCATCTATGACGCAGTGAAATTTCAGGAATCAAGTGAAATCAAACCAGTAAATGGTGACATTTGTTGTTTGATGATAAACAAAACAAAAATGGACAGAAAAAAAGAAGATAATATCAAACCCGACCCGACCTGGATCGTGTGGTTTTTCAACATAGGGTGATCAAAAGCAGGTTGCTTGAAAAGATCAATGCAATCTATGATTTCTCCATCTTCGCTCTACAAAACCAAATAGAAACGTAGTTAGAGGCATCCAGTAAATTTGGTAGAGAAACAAACTAGAAACCAACGTAGCCACTACACTACAATAAAGAGATTAAGCAGCAACTCACAATCAGGCAGGGGATGAAGTGGGTTGGATCCAGATCCATGTTAGGCGGACCCTGTGATGTACATATCGGGCCTGTCCATTTCGTATATCCGGATCATATTGCGAGGTATGGCTCAGGGTTATATTTTGGGTTGACCCACTCCATTTCATGCCATAATGCCCAAGAAGTGGGGAGTGTGTATGGCAGCTTCACGCCCTGTTTGGGAGGGCTTCTGCGTTGATTGAGCTGCATGGACTGAGCCACTTCTCCTCACAAGAATCCTACTCACAGTCACAGGACAGTACAGCCGCACATTGAAAATATCACCTTGACATTCACGGGGAGATGTTCTTGATGTGCAGCTTGATGATTTGTGGGTAGGGTTATTGTGTTCAGGAGATCCCTACTGCTTTGGAAACTTGAGAATTGAGAGAGCTTCACAGGAAAGTCTATTTCATGTAAGCCTGTTTTCAGCTTTCTAGATTTTTATCAAATACAACAGCTTCATTGCATTCCAGGTTTCTCAGTCCATGCAAAACCCTCCCAGACAGACACCGAAGTTTCAGTTCACAAACAGATGCATGTGAATCGCAAAGTTCAACTTTGTCTTTCTATCGCCTAAAACATATCTCAAAATTTGAATCCATTTCTCCAAAGGCTTCAAACAATGTGTAATGTGTAGATTTTGTGATGTATAGATACAAAATCCAATCCCATTAAAAATACTACTTCTCCCATTGAAATAGATATAAAGAACAAATGATCTGTCAGAAGTTGAAGGGAAAGGGTAAGAGATGATCGGAGGGCTCATAAATTTAACAATTAATGGATACGCAGTTTCTAAGCAGTTCCTTGACGTGGAATAGAAATCTGCAAACCTGAATACTCTTGACTGCTGGCCTGTTAAGAAGCTTTAACCTCTTGTTAACTTCCAACAATTTCTGCTTAATCAGGGATTCACCATCTACTACTCCATCCATTAAAATCATAAAAACCATTGCCAAGAGGATTACTTTATCATTGTATCCCAACCCATTTTTCGTCCAAAACCTTTTGCCCATTTGATGCAGATCTCTTTGCCTGTCTTCCGCCTACCTGCGCAATAGGCCCCAAAAGCAAAGCATTAGCAAATAAGTATCGAGCTTGTAATCAGCACAGCTTGAATGCAAAACTGTTAGCCCAACAAGAGTAGAGAAACTAACCCCGAAGAAACAGAGTTGCAAGAGAAAGCTTAGACGGTGATCAACCTCTGAATGAATGCAAGACTCCGTGGTATGGTAGAGTGGCCATAGGCCCTCATTTGATTCTCAACATGTTGGAGTATCCAATGGTCATGTGACAAGCCACATGTTGATGAGTTCACATCTCTACCCCACAGCAAATCCCCGCCGTGTATTGGGAACATCTCCCGATGAAAGTATCAGAATCGATGATGTCATCATCAAGAGATGTTCCCAATACACGGTGGGGATGTGCTGTGGGTCATTGTGGGGCGGTGATGTGATCTCCATGTTGATGGAAGATGATTGCTTCATGCTTTATCTCTATGCAATACTTTCGCATACAGTCATTCATTTCTTTTTTTTTTCTAAAATTATTATCTATTTATTTATTTTCTAAAAAATAAAATTATTTGATTGTTTATTTAGAAATATTTTATGCATAGAGATACCAATATTATTGGATTACTCTAGATCTTAGTTCCAGTTCTTACTGGGTCAATAGCTACCCATTTAACTTGGTCTAAGTGGGATGACCAAGTGGTTAGATCCTTGGTCAATGAGACACTTATCTCAATTTCTGGTGAGGCATTGAATTGGCCTTTCCCCCAAACCTTCAAGTTTGTTAAATTCCCACCTCAAAATAAGGAAGGAAACGTTGGGTTGAAAGGCTATCTCATAATGACAGCAGATACATGTGAAAAATAAGATATCTTGAAAGGTTAAGAAACCTCCAATTTCTTTTTCAGTACCATCAGTTGCCACTACAAAGAATAGGGCTTTTGGTGGCGTTTCTTTTGTGATGTTTATATAAAACGTCACAAATAGTTTAACTTTTCATGATGTTAATGAAAAATATCGCAAATGATAAACTTTTGGCAATGTTTATTAATAATTATTGCCAAATGTTAACTTTTCGTGGCATTTTTTGCAACATTTATATAAAATGTCATAAATAATCAACCTATCGTGACGTTAATAAAAAATGTCACAAATGACTGTTTTGATGGTTATTAATAGCTGTTGCCAAATGTCAATTTTTTGCAGCACTTTTGTTCAGGTTTTAGTAACGTTTAGGTCAAACATCATTGAAAATCCTTTCCCACCACTGCCACCTTTCGTGCCAAATACTTTTCGCGACAATTGAAGTGGTTGATGTTTATATTAAGGGAAAATCTATGATACGGGAAAGATATGGTAGGGAAAGTGTTTTGACCAATCAAGATCCATTCATGAATTTTGATAAATAATACCTTAATCATTATCACGTTTATAATTCTAGTTTATTGGTCATTTGTTTTTCCCATATCATAGTTGGAAAACACCGCCAAAAGTTCTTTAGTGCATATTTTGACAATGTTGTTGTTGTTATTCAAGTTTTAAAATTTTTAATTAATTTTGAAATTAACTTGTAGCTAATTTGAAATTAATTATACAAGTATTTTTTAGTAAGTGAGAATTTTAATTTTTATTGACTATTTTTTAAATTTTATTTATATAACTAATTGATGTTGTTCAATCCAAGGTAGTGCACGAACTGAGGAGGGCAATCAGATAGTCCTCGTTGGCAGATCAGGCCAAGCTTCAAGGATGAGGCCGCGTTTCAAGATCTGTGGTCAAGGAAGAAGTCAGAGGCCCGAGGAATTAACCCCGGGTAAGTACTCGGACGCTCAAGTCGATAGGAGGTGGTGGATGGCCGGGCTGAGCTGATGGTCCGGGCTAATTAGCACTGTGGGTGTTCGAAATCAAAAAGCCCCTTACCTCAAGCATAGAGTACCTTTTATAGCCAGAGGATCCGTATCCTAATCAGAGTAGGTTTCTAGGGAAATCGGGGCAGAGTTCCCCACCGTGGTTGCAGGGGTAGAGTCCTATTCCTCAACGGAGTTGTCTTCCCATCCCTATCCGTTAGGCAGGCTTATCCGTGAGGGGCGTAGCTGACGTGGTCGGCGGGATCATGGCAATGTCGTAGCCCAGTCGGACTGTGCCGATGTGGCCGAACTATGACAGATGGCTAGGGGCCTCATGGCCAGCTCAGCCATGTCCCCAACACTAATATTTTAAAATAATTAGTTATTTAATTTTAATAGTTTATTCATTAATCTTACAAATTTTCATTCAAATATTTAATTTACTCTCATTTTTAATTAAAATTACTTTGAATGTTTAAAGGGGTTGAATTTATATTTTTCCATGTCATAGTTAATTATAATATAGTACTTATACATTAATTGCGTTTAGTTTAAATTACTTAAAAAGTTATAGTAATGAGAAATTTTCATTACTTAATTAATTAATTAACCAAAAGTTATAGTTTAAATTACTAAATATAGTATTTATACATTAATTGGGTAACAAATTTTCATATTCATATGGTTTGGTTACAAATGAGAAAATAATGGTTAAATCAACCTCAATAACAATTATTAATGAATTAATTATTCATTAGTATTTAATTAATTAATAATGTTTTCTATTATTTTATTTTATGTTTCATGGGTAATTATCAATTAATTAACCACTTAATTAATTAATTAACCAAGATGGATTGCTTGTAGCTAGGGATGTCAACGAGTTTGCTTCAATATGGATATGCCTCAACCAAAAGCTAATCCACCCCAATAGGGTTCAATCCAATACCAACTTGTTCCAACCTGTAGCCTTTTAATTGTATTTTCTAGAACCTGAAAGCCATTAATTTAAGTAGGAAGTTGAGTTATAGGTTTTAAAGACGTCACTTTCTTTACGGAGTTAGAATTATATATATATATATATCATAGCTAAGGGCTTCGGATCAAGGGTACCTGCAGACACGAGTGATCAAAGGTACACTCCGGATCTGCTGAGAACACAGCTACGCACGTAAGTTTTTGGTACAATTACGAAGTGTGATGCCAAGTTTTGCATCAAGTGGAGCAGTTATTTATGGGAACTGAACCTTGTAATTTGTATTATTTTGTATGTATTTGCACCCTACATTTTTGTATTTCTATTCTTTTGTATTTGTATTATTTTGATCTTAGTAGGAGAAGGCATTGAGCGTACTGATTCTGCGCTTTCTGAAATACTTGATCAACTTGAATAGCACTATCAGCTAAACTACTAAACGTGTAAGATGGGGCTAGGCCAGTATCCTAGAAGCTTATACTTGGTTGGAATCACCAGTTGCCGCTTTCTTTGTCCTGCAACACTGTAAAGAGTACAAATACAACTATGTGAAGTTCAAATCTGAACTAGAATCACCAGTATCCTAGAACCTTATCTTGTCAAAAATCCAGGTTTGTTTACTTGGAAAAGTCACTTCGATTGTTTTCAATCAAATCTGAACTAGATAAAAATTTTGCAATTAGTTCAGTTTTGCATCCGGTTGCTTGTGATTAATTGACCGTGATTTGCACTCTTACCTAATGCAAAATTTGCACTTTTTTGTCTCATTTGTATTCATTAACACTGCAAATTTGAAACACTCGGTGTCCGCCTCTCAAGAATATTTAGTAAAATGAGAAAGGTACAGTCAAATTTGAAAGGATGCACTAGATGCTATTGAAATTATAGTCCAGCTAGATTAGGAAGTGAAAACATATTAGCTGAAACAGAATTATTGGATCATCAAAAGAGACTGCAAATACTGAAATTAACATATTTAACACGGTACAGGAAGATATCACTTGAGAGTGTCTATGCTTTGATTTCTTTAGGCGTATTAAAATTCTAGAATTACAACTCTAAATGCGTGACACATAAAAAAAAAAAAAAAAGATAAATGTTAAAGCAAAGCATTTAGTTATCTGTGTAAGGAATATATTAAAGATCTGCCCTCCCAGGATACCTGGGGAAGGGAATCACATCTCTAATGTTATCAATTCCCGTGGCAAAAAGCACCATTCTCTCGAAGCCTAAACCAAACCCACTATGTTTCACAGTCCCATAACGTCGCAGATCAAGATACCAATCGTATGGCTCAAGTGGCAGGCCCGTTTCTAGTATCCTGAAATGATCAAAATCCAGCCCCACTCCAATCATTAAAGTTGTCTCCAAATAGAATCAAATCAGAACTTCACATACACATCATCGTCTAAGATCCCAAAACCAAAGGATGCATACATATTAAGCAACTGATAAACTGGAACACTACTAAAAGAGCTAAACAAACTGAATCACAACTGATCCAAACATGTTTACTATTTGGTACCATAATATGGTTTCTTGTAATCAGCCACAGTTTCTGAATTAGATGATGACTTTTTTTTTTTTTTTTGGTGGGGGGGGGGTGTTAGATTTTAAACACAATTATCTTAATTAACTTACCCCCCTTACAGGATGAAAGAATACAATCAACACAATACCACTCTGTACAAGGCACTTATGCATCCCATCTTGCCATTTGGATGGCACATACAAGCATCTGGACTCTGCTTTGAATCAGATTTTATTAAGAAAATCTGAGGCATTTAAGTCATTCTGCATGCAGACTATACAGGCTCTCCAAATTCTACAATTTATCTACAACCAGATTCTTGGGACTTTGGCAATAGAAGCTTTAATCTCCAAAATCCAAATTATATGGGATTTCACATGGTTGGAGATTTTAAACACTAATGAAATAGAAGCATTACTATCATGTGTTCTTGGTGCAAGATGGAAATATAAACCCAATTCATCAAAAGCTACTGAGCACTTAACAGCTCAACAGCTAAAGCTTCCCCTCAATTAACTGAAGACAGTTTTCTGAGCTTGGAATGGTTCGGCTCAATTAATCACCATACCTCTAATGTCATACCTAGAGATTTTCCACCTTGGAATAACCCAAACAAATTAGGGTTACGAATTTTGATAAACAAGTTAATCTTAAGAAATTTTGGGCCCTGCGCTTCCTTTTACTTCTTTTTTAGCTTGATGTATTTCACTTTCTTTGTTGAATCAATCTTGGGGTCCCCTGCAGTATTCCCCCCCAATAAGATCTTGTATTTAATCATCAAAAGTAAAATTTATTTTATTAAGTATGAAAGAATGGCTTGATCACATAAATGTCCAGCATTCATTTAGTGAGGTTGGTTTCCTGCCCTCTTCCCCTTACAATTCCATATAACCTTAATGGGGCTTTCCTATCTCAACACTAATACTATTAATTTTGTGGGCTAATGAAGTGTAAATTTTAATCTCCCAATGGTTCTTTAAACATGTCAGTAAAAGGAGAAATTTAAGAACTACTTAAATCCATTGCATTGTACTTTAATGCAAATTATAATGGAGTCAACATTTCAAGACAGCATGAGACATTAAAGGATAAAAAATAAATGACCTTTTCAATACCTTTTCTCAATGACCTCATAGCGTTCCTCCCTTTGGCTTCCACCTATCAATTCTCCCACCTGAAAATAGAACAAAAGAACCTTAGGAAGTTCAATTGCTTGCAGAGCAGTGTGTTATACATATCATGGAAATTCAGGCCCATGGTAATAAGAACTGATGCTAATTGGTAAATAACTGTACAATAAAGGTAACCAACCAACAGTCATAAAACCAATTAACCTAGTCATGAAGCAAATGAAAATCCTCTGAAAGACACTATGATATCAAGACAGAGGATATAAACACACCTTGGGTACAAGCACATCCATAGCAGCCACTGTCTTCATATCGTCATTGAGTCTCATGTAAAAAGCTTTAATTCCTTTTGGATAGTTATACACAATAACAGGCTTTTTAAATATTACCTCTGTCAAATATCTGCATTATAATGAGAAACCATCAATTCAGTGCAAACAATTCAAATAGAACGAAAATCAAGCTAACATTTATACCATCGAATATCCAAGCACCTTTCATGTTCAGATGCTAGATCCATTCCCCATTCCACCTTATTCTCAAACTTCTTTTCTGTAACTTTTTCTAGAAGTTCCACTGCTTCTGTGTATGAGATCCGCTCAAAGGGGGTCGATAAAACCATTTTCAGACGATCTATTGCTGATTTGTCAAAATTCTTAATCATGAATTGCATATCATCTAGGCAGTTGTCAAGCAACCAACAACAGAGGAATTTCACATATGCTTCAGCACAGTTCATATCATCCTACAAAATGCATGGAAAACCTTTTAACTTTATATGGAATGTACATGTATTTCACAAATATGCAAGCATTAACCCCATTATAAACAAAAGACTGTACTTTTCCTCCTTTGATTGATGATAAAAAAAATAAGGAAGAAAGAGCTACACCAATTCTAGCAAGGAAATGCATCATATTATATCTTATAGTTCCGAAACAAAAGAATTTCATTTAAGATCAACCAAGTCAATAGCACAATTAGAAAAAAAAAAAAAAAAGTCAGTTTGAGACAAGATAATGTGTGTTGTGTTGCAACTCGACCAAGAATGAAAATTGTAGAATTAAAAATATCATGATGTTTTTTTTTTTTTTTTTTTGGGGGGGGGGGGTCTAGAGAAACTCCATTTCCACAAACAAAATCAACCAAAAAGAAACCATCAATCACATCAGCAACTTTCAGAAATGGATTTATAGCAACAAGTGTAAGCTTCAGCAGACAATATTCAATAGTCTTAGACTGCATTGTATTTGGTTTAAAAAACTGAGTTGGCTATAGTGAAATCCAATATGTACTTAACTTGAACAATTGCCAATTCCAATCAAATTTCTCAAATATTGGTTTACTGTTGAAAAATATATATAAATTCATATTCAGGTACCTCCAAATCTGCAAATGCTATCTCAGGTTCCACCATCCAAAACTCTGCCAGATGCCTTGATGTGTGAGAATGCTCAGCTCGAAAAGTTGGTCCAAATGTATAAACGCTGCTAAGGGCACATGCAAAACCCTCAACCTGGAGTTGGCCTGACACAGTCAAAAAAGCTTGACGAGCAAAAAAGTCGTGGGAGTAATCAATTTTCCCATCCTTTTGGGGAAGTCCAGGTTTAAGCTTAGATCTCTCTTCCAGTTTGGCAAGACTCTCCTTGGCCTTTGTAAGTTCACCCACAGAAGCAGTAATAACCTCTTTGCTTGCCTTAGCAGATTTTAATTGTGAAACATCCTCTCCTTTCTCCTTGACTAGAAGTTTGGCAGCTTCAATTTCAGCTTCTGATGGTGGAGGGTTCTGCTTGAACTCCTTCTCCACCTTTTCTGCATCACTAAACAATGTTGTAACTTGAAACATTTCGCCTGCACCCTCACAATCACTAGTTGTGATGATGGGAGTATGTACATAAAGAAATCCATTCTTCTGAAAGAAAGTGTGTGTTGCATAAGCCAATGCATTTCTGATCCTAGCAACTGCTGATATCTGAAAATGGGAAACGAAATTCAAATATCACTATTCATATGATGCAGGCAATGTAGAATAAAGTAGTAGAGTTAGGAACATAATTCCAGTCATCAATATCAAACAGCATAACTCCAAAGGACAAAAAGCCAACAAAAGGACAAGAAGCAAAGATAATTTTTTATATTTGGGCATAAGGCGCAAATGGCTCCTCTTGATACTCATGACCTCTGATAGATGCATTGTAGTTAAGTGAAGTTTCAAAGGTATGATTAGATTAATTTGACTATCTATTCTGGTGATTTAGTTATTTACTTTGAGCTTTGTCGAGTTGTATCATAGGAGTAGTCTGCAATTTTGGCTTTTGAGTGGGACTGTTTGGATATGAAAAGAAGTTATTCCTTAGATTTGTTAGAGTTCAGGATCTTTAAATCCTATACTCTTTTTTATAGTAAATAAAAATATTTATTAAAATAAAAAGGAGATTACAGAAAGCGAGGGGTGATAGCACCTGAAACAAAGTTACACACAACTCCACGAGGGAAACAAAACAATAGTACATCAAGGATCAACCAAGGTAGATGATAAGTAGGGAAAGATGAGGTGAATGTGTATGTTTTGATCTCCAAGTAACAAATAGGTGACAAACAGGTGACAAGTAGGTGACAAGCACAAGGTATAATAGAAAGAGACAATAAGCAGCTGGTTACACGTAGCTGATGGGAGTTACTTATAAAGGAATTTCTGACTCCATGTCTATGTATACCTATGTACTATGCTCTTTTTAAAAGGGAAATGAAATTAATTTCTGTTTAATTTGAGTTAGATTTCTCTCAAATATTTTAGAAGGTGTGATGCTTTCTTCCTCTAGGAGTGATTCCTTGAACCGTCGTGTGAGGATATCTCCCCCAAGGCCCCAACCCCTCTTGATGACTAGAACACTACTAGAGTGGTTCTAGTTGAATTACCCTCTCTTTAACTCCCCAAAATCAATAAATGTCTATCTCCCTTAGGTTCTATCCTGCATCAGAGAGAGAGAGAAGGTAATAGGGAACGATAGATGAAAGAAATCATGTAGAGAATGCAAGGGTGTATTTGCAGACCATGTTGATTTTCATGTGATGGTTTTCCAGGAACTAGGCCTAACTTTTATCAAGGTGTTCTTAGTTATTGTGGATTTCTTGTTTTCTCAATCAGGTCTCATACATTACATCTAGTGTCATCAAAGCATCAACTAGTCAACCAATTAGTCAATTAAGAGCCAGACCAACTGCAGCACTAACTAGTTGGTTGATACTCATGATGCGATCACCTAAATGACTAAGAATCAACCAAGTCAACTAGTTAATTAACAACTAGTGAACCACAAGTTGGTTGATACTCACCGTTAAAGGACTTGTTCCCTTCGCTTTTTTCTATTTTTTTGTACAAAAAAGAGGTGGTCTCAAAATTTGTTTCACCTTTGGGAACACCCTTAGATCCTACTTGGGATTTTGGGTTTCGTAGAGGACTTAGGGATGCTGAAATTGAGTCTCTTTCT